AAATATTATCAATAAGGTTTTAATAGACAAAAATGTGACTGCTTTGGACCTTGACAAAAATGTGACCCGATCGTTTCTCTCCTCCCCATGGAAATCGACCGCGTCTGGAACTATCCATGCAGGTGTGCAGCTCTCCTCCATTGATCTTCCATCATCAACCTCACATTCGGCAACCTACGACTATGGCGGCCGCCATCCTCCTCCGCTTCTCTGCTCCGCCAGTCATCATCGTCGTCGCCCTCCCCTCCCCTGCGCTGATTTATATTCATTCTCTTTCTGTGCGGTCAATGGGGAGGTGAAACATGTAGGCTTGGAAGGCAGTAACGATGGATCTAGCCAAAGTGGAGCAGGTGAGGCCAATATAATGGCGATGTACGACGGCTCCGATCTGAGGCTGCCGGTTCCAGATCCATCTTTCTCAAAGGGCGACGACTCCGATTTGGGCTGCCGGTGCCGGATCTGGATTTGGGACCGCCGCCGCAGGTGGGGTCCGATTTGGGGCCGCCGCTGCTGTTGGGGTCCGATTTGGGGCCACCACTGCTTCCGGTGGTGTTATGGCTGAGGTTTTGTGCGAACTGGCCAGAGAAGGACATGGAGGGAGGATAGGGGCGGAGAAGGGGAGCAGGGGAGGGGGCTGGGGACAGGGGAGTAGGACTGGGGCCTGGATGTTGGGGCTGAGGGCGGGGTGGCTGGATGTTAGGGGTGAAGGCGGGTGGCTGGCAGTGACGACTGGCGGTGACGACCGGGGATGGCTGGGAGGAGAAGGGGCAGTACGGTTTGACCGTGTTGATGGTATGGCGATGCCGGCGGGGGTGTCACTAGGCGGTGGTGGTGTCACTGTCGCGGAGTCACTGTGGCCGGGGGTGGTGGCACGTTAGATGGTCGTCGAGGATGGGGCTGCAGTAGGGCTGAGGAGGGTGCAGGTGCGGGACACTGCTGGCGAAAGTGGGTGGTGGGCTTGATGGTGTCACTATGGTTGTAGTTGACATGTCACTGTGGTGGTCAATCCAGAGGCGGTGTCACTGTGGTGGCGTCACTATGATGATGTCACTGTGACGATGGTGGTGTCAATGTAATTGGCGTGAAAATTTTGACTTTGACAACTTTCGGTGACAAGAAAAACGAACACAGTGACATATTTTTTTTGCAGTGACATCATGTTTTCTAATCCCAACTATGTGAACTTGTTAATCACTTTTTTTTTTTCAATTTTTAAAAGTATTCACATTTTGGAAATTCAGTCCAATTTAGTAATATTAAGTGAATAAATTAAAAATCTTGTAAAAATTAAAATTAAGTATGGTTTCAAAGGTTTTTATGAATGGAGTAAAAAGAAAACCAACATAATTTCTTGTGATCCCATACAAAAAAATAATTTTACAAAAGATGTAAAACAATTTAAAATACTACGTATAAATTTGACCATTGAAACATACTTGAGCCATATCATTGGCATCACATAGGTAGTACTCCGTATAAATCACGTGTTTGGCTTGTGAGCTGTGACTTCATCGTCCAGTTCAACCACCAATCCTGCGGTATCAATCGTTTAATCGTTACACTGCAGCAGAGAAAAGAACAAAGATCAATCAACACCACCAGAGCTAACAAGAGATCTCAGATCCCAATCCGTTCAAAAGATCTGAACAATGTCTTCTACCTTCAGCGGCGATGAAACTGCTCCCTTCTTCGGTTTCCTCGGCGCCGCTGCCGCTTTGGTCTTCTCCTGTACGCGTCTTTCTATCGTTAACCATATTTCTACGCGAATATGAAGATTTCAATTCTGCTTCGATACGCATCTAATATGGATCTGGATCGATCGATTAATTCATTGCCTGGTTTTGCAGGTATGGGGGCAGCTTACGGAACAGCCAAGAGTGGAGTAGGAGTGGCGTCGATGGGTGTGATGAGGCCGGAGCTGGTGATGAAATCAATCGTCCCCGTTGTTATGGCTGGTGTGCTAGGTATTTATGGCTTGATCATTGCTGTCATCATCAGTACCGGAATTAACCCTAAAACCAAATCCTATTACCTGTTCGATGGGTATGCTCACCTGTCTTCCGGTCTGGCTTGTGGCCTTGCCGGCCTATCTGCTGGAATGGCCATCGGAATTGTCGGAGATGCCGGTGTCAGGTTATTGTTTAATACATTCATCACCCATGCTGTCCGTTTTACTGCTCTCACTGCAACTGCCTATATATCTCTGAGACAAAATTGATGCAATTATTTCAATCTAGAATGCAACTTTCATAGTAATACTGTAATAGTCCTTATTTTGGATGGAATAACTTTGTAATTGAAGAAATTGCAGATTTGAACATTTGGTGCAAGAGTGCTTCTATTCCAGAGCTAAAAAGTTGAATGTCAAAGACTAAGGGAATTTTTGGCATGTTTTTTTTTCAATTACATGAAAAATCAACTTCATTAGATCAAATTTGATTCTTTTATTAGGATAAGAATCATAAGACTATTAGAGTGCGTAAGAAGGAGGTTGTTTTAGGATCACTTGCCCGTAAAAAGGATCAAATGTTTGGGTTTCCGGTATAGTTGGATTCAAGAAGGTGTGGTCGTTTCTAGTATTTGGGCATTGGATTATATGCATGCACTTTGTGAGTATTTAGTGCTTACTAAATCAAATCAAGCCTTACATACTGAAGGTTTATTAGCGGCTCCATTTGCACATGTTTTATCTTGCATTTACTTTCATTATCTATTTTTCTTTCATTACTTTGGGCTTCATGTCATACTGTCATCTGACTAAGTTTACCCTGTGAGTTTCTTCTATATTAAGTAGTACATTATGTTGGAAGTTCTCGCAAAGCAATATGAAAACATTCGTAGAAGAATTATAAGTTGCTTCTTGGAATCTTAATGCATAAAACCTCAAGCTTCTTGCCATTCTCTCTGATTTCTAGCTTGTTATTTCCCTTGTCCTGAAATTTTCTTCTCACCTTGACTTAGCACTCTTATTAAGAAAGTAAAACTATGGGATCTAGATTTTTATTTAGATTAGCTGAAAACAATATCAACCACACAATGCGTTTCTTAAAATGTTTATAGAACACCCCAAGAAGGCAAACCTAAGAAGAATTTTCAGGAAGAATAAAGTATAAATTAAATGTCTCTTGTAAGATGTTTATTTGATTTTAGTTTTTTATTATGCAAGTGTGAGGTAAACTTCACATTTCAAGGATCCCTTTAAGATGAGTTTGCCCCAACTTAATATTAAATTATAGATATTCATAACAATTTTTAATTTGCAGGGCTAATGCACAACAGCCAAAGCTATTTGTTGGGATGATCCTTATTCTTATTTTTGCTGAAGCTTTGGCACTTTATGGCCTCATTGTTGGCATTATCTTGTCTTCTAGAGCTGGCCAGTCCAGAGCAGATTAAAAAACAAAAATGTGGGTAACAGCTACTACATTACTGTAAGTTGTGTCACTTTGGAAGAAAAGAGAGACACCATTTTCTTATAAGGTCAGAAACTTCAGATGTTCCAGAGTGGTCTTCATTCTTGCACTCGCATCCCTTGACCGGCGGTTATTTGCTTGTTTCCTTTTCTTTTTCTGTACTAGTAACTTAATAAGTAATTTGCTTGTACTAGTAATTAGTACTTAATTTTGTGCTGAATAAGAGTTGTTGAATGTGTTCATCTCTAAATATTCCCCAATTGTGTGATGTACTTTTAATGTTTTTGCGATATAACGTGTTTGGTTACTACTAGGTGAAAAATAATTTGTAGGCGAATTTGGTAGTTGGTACCTTGGACCTATGTTTACTCCAATATTTGACTTAGCAAACTTAGCTCGCTGTTTTGTTCTTTGACTTTTGCACCCTATAGCAATGGGTACAATTTTAAAATTATGTTTAATTCACGGGGTGCAAATTCTAATAAATGGGGTGCAAAGTCTTATGTATGCATGTGCCGTTCTTGGAGTTGAAGTTGGCAACTTCAAAGATTCTTTTGTTCTCAGTTCAAAGTTCAAACTAATCAACGCACCTGTTTAGCCCGTTATGGTTCAACATGTTACCACGTCTAATTTTAAGCATTCTTCTGCACCTTTAAGTTTTAACTTCAATATCACCTTGTTGCCATTCAGAAATCAAGAATAAGTCATTGCAACCATTTTGAAGTAGAATCCGTTAAAAACTTAAAATCATGGACGAAGAAGCAAAGCTACTTTGTAACATTTTCGTAAAGAAACAATCGTTTTTTGAGTGTATTAAAATTTAAAAAGCATTACATTCAATGAACCTCTTTGATTTCTACTTATATCCTAAAACTTTTAAGGAATTTAAGCTAACAACTTTCTACATGAAAATCAACACACCATCGTTTCATCTCATCCGTTTTGTACCTCATACCAAATTACTTTATTACCTCGATCTTTCAACTTAAACCTCCAAAAACTCAAACACACTCTCAGTCTAAAAAATAATTCTGCCGCAAGTGATTTTTGTATGCCTAAAGGGTAAAGTTTTTATTTTAGTTTTTTTATGAATTATGATGAAGCTCATAAAAATCGTATGTGCTTGCATCTTAATATATTATCAATATTATCATACTTAATGTATCTTATTATCTTCTTATTATCAAGGGAAAATCGCACTTTTAGTCACTCAAATAGTCATCATATTGAAATGTCAGATCCGTGTTCCCAAGTTTGTAAATGTCACCACTCAATTGTCCAAATTGCTGTAAATGTGGTCCTTTGAGGGATGAAATGTACAATGAGGGCGAGGAGTACATTTCACCACTTAAAGGATCACATTTACAGCAATTTGAAAAATTGAGGGGTGACATTTCAATATGATGACTATTTCAGGGACTAAAAGTGAATTTTCCCCTATTATCAATATATTCATACTTAATGTCTCTCATTAATAGCAGCCATCGTACATAAGTGTATTTCGAGAATACCACACAACTGTTGAAATTATTTTAGTTTGTAATTTAAAACAGACTACTCATAATCGAGATTACCATCATTAACTTTGTCAATATGAAAATCATATTCCATTCTTCCATAGTCCGCAATAGGAGTATGGATGGACTCGGCTCGGGTGGCCCGACCCGGAACCGACCCAGGACCGGTACTGTTCTGTCCCGGCCCGAACCGGTGACCCATCCAGGGACCGGTCCGGGTAGGCCCGGCCGGTGGTTTTACGGTGCGGGCTTGGGTCCCCCAAATGATGAACCGGCCCGGCTGGACCGGGGCCGATTCCGGGCTTCTTTTTCATTTTTTTTTATTTTTCTGGGTTGAGCTGGGTGTTTTGGGCCGTTTGGGGTGGGGGTGAGGGGGGATTAGGGGATTAATTAGAAAATCAAAAAAAGGAAGTGGCCCAAGGCCCGGCCCGACCCGGACCCGCCGGCCACCCGGTCCGGTTCCAGTTCACACATTTTCAAATAAAAGCCCAGCTGGGCCCAGGCCCGAACCAGAACCGGCCCGAGTCCACCCACAAATAGGAGCGTTTATTTTTCTCTTAAAAGAATAACACATTCAAAGCTATGCACGGGAGGGGAAATTTAAAGCGCTGAATCACTTGGAAAACTTGTGTGTGTGTGTGGGCGGGGAGGGGGGGGGGGGGGTACAGGGTATGTGAGTGGATCAGACTAAAAGTCAGAAGTAAACTATTTTTGTAACTCTTGTATCAGAAAATCATTCGTATTACATCATACACATGAGACAGGGATGATCAATAAGGTTCAATCTCCAGCACAGAAAATACAGATACAGTCTTGCTATTCTAACCAATCAACAATGCAACGCATTACCAATTTGCCATTCCACTAATAGATACATTGCAGATTAGCCCATTGGAATGAGCTTCAGTTTTTCTAAAGGTCTACTAGATGGACACATTCAAAGGAGGGGAATACGACAACTATCATCCTTAATCATTCAAAGGAGGGATACCACACTGTTGATTCTCCAACCAAAGGATCTACAAGGCACACGTGGAGTAAAGCTAAGCCCAAACATCTCCTTAGGGGCCTCTCCTCCTTGCTCATAGAACCCAATAAGTTTTGCAACGATTGCAGCACTCTCTCTAACGTGATTCATGTCGGTATTGCTCCACAAATGGTTCACTAATTTCTGTCTCCTCCGTTTGGAGTTCAAGGCTATACCCCACTTTTGGTACATGTCGTTCCTCTCATGTTCAGTAAACCTTTTATAGATAAGCCTGCTTAGCATTCCCCGCTCACGGCAAACTGCTTTGAGGCTGTTTCTCCAACAAAACATAAGGGCATATCAAGTGTTGTGGTACTTCATGACTTCTTTCAAATAAATAAAAAGAAATACATCTCGGAACTTAAAGCTACTGCAGGTATCAAGATCGGTGTTAAACCAGGACTAACTCACCCAAAAAGAATCCAAGTGGTAATGTTTACCTCACACTTATAAACTAGACTCAAACCCATAAAAAGAACCCTTATAAACTAGACTCAAACCCATAAAAAGAACCGATGTGGATACTATACTTTTATTAGGGAAAATAATTAAAATACCCTAAACTTTGAATGGGTGTGAGATAAATACCCCAAACTTTATATAAAAAGTTATTTTAACACCATGGTTATGTATTATTTCTTTCAAACTTGTAAATTTATGGTGTTCATTTTCATTTACCCCTACGGTGGGGTAAGGGGAGGTAAGGGGGGGTCGGATGTACGCAGTCTTACCCCTGTACTAAAGCACAGAGACACTGTTTCCGGATGACCCATAGTGAAAATCCCGTCCAAAATTGCATGGACTGACTATTGCTTCATAACAAAGAAGCGCAGACAGTTTAGTGAGCCATTTTGCTTTATTCCATCATAATCTCATGCCAAAAAATAATGAATCTTTGGCTCCATCACAAATGATGAAAAATGTAAATTTATGGTGTTAAATGCATAATTTAAAATAGCAAATTGAAAACATTAGAATTATATATAGTGGTGGGTAATACCATTTATTTTACAATGGATATTTAGAATTTAATTGTATCTTTATGAATGCTAAAAAATTATCAAATTATTAAATAAACACTAAAAATTATTAATTTTTAAAGAAATAACACTTTATCATGATGCTAAAATAATTTTTATATAAAGTTTGGGGTATTTAAATTACGTATGCAAGTTTGGCGTGTTTTCTCACACCCTTTCAAAGTTTGGGGGGGGGGGGGTATTTTAATTATTTTTCCCTTTATTATAAGTAGTATATATAATATACACACCTTTGATCCGAGGCTGACAGAGCCTTGGGCTATATTGGATTGTAGCCTAACCTATTTACAAATAATAACAGTACTTCAATTACTTTTTTGTTTAATTATATCCTATTATCTAGCCACACGTTCGAAATATCGCTATCGATTAGCATACGAGTGCTTTTACTTTGATTTTAATGATATTGTTGATGATGACATCGATAGTTGTGAAAAAACAAAAAGATTAACAATGAAAATAACGATATTTCATAGGGATAGCGAATGATAATCATGTTTGATACTAAAACCTTGCCTACTTTTTTACTGCAAGTTATTTAACTTGTTAAAACAGTTCTTTGTTGCAAACTTACAACATAGAGTATGATCTTTCAACAACTCGTTAAAATATCATACTTGGTTTTGTAACAAAGTATAACTAAAAGCTTTGACATAACAGTTGTTTAGTGTGCTTTCAGTTGTTATCGTATTGAATATTTTGATGTATTTTTACCTCTCTCTCTCTCTCTCTCTCATTTTTAGTATCTATAAACAATTGATTTATGATATCTCTACTTGTCATCAGTTCAAATGCAACTCTTACGCCCCTGGGTTCCACAACTAAATGGTGGACAATATTTACCCGAAAAGACCTCCACATGGGATGTCAATATGCCATAAGCCGTTGAGTGGGCAGGTGCTTCATGTAGAGCATACCCAAACACATCTTTTAGGGCCTGTTTGGATGGAGGGTTAAATTTTGGATGACAACCATATGTTGATATGAAGGTGGGATTTTATAAAAATTGAAAGATTAATACGAAGTATAATACATGATTGAATGGCATTTCAATCACTTTTATTCATCTTTAGAAACATGTTAATTATCAAGATGGAGACTAGGCCCTATTAGACAACAAACACAGGACACTGTACTGTAGATGGGCAACAAACACATGACACTGTACTGTAGATGGGCAATATGGTAGTGGATAGTAGAATAGGAGATGGATGTGGAAAGTGTACCTTGATGCAAGTGTGAGCCGTTTGCCACCTTGCACTGCTGGAGTTCCATTTGAAAATGAACCGTTGAGATAGGAAAGCCTTCTAACCTCTACTTCCATGTACACGGAGTCTGTTGTGTCACCTTTAAAGAGCAAGAAAAAATATGTCCTGTGGACCAATGATATGTTGCATTTCTGCCAAAGCTCAATTATCAGTTTTTGCAGCCTTTCAAACTCAGATGGCCAATTCGAAGGAGTTCCAGGTGGATCTGTTCCTCCTACATCTTTCATACTCCTATGGGAACTATTGGGCCTTAAATCTACATCCTCAACCTATCAAGAAAGTTGTGGAATAATTTGCATCAGCAAAAACAGACACAGAAAATAGAAACCTCCATACTTCAAGTTTGTGTTTGGAGCATGGGAAATAGTAGGGAAAGGGAAAAATGCTAAGACAATAGATATTACATTTTTTTACTTTAACTTAGTGAATATAAAGGAGAACTTAGATTTGACTAAAATTAGAAACTTACATATACTAGATCTCTTAGACTTCATGTATTAAAAATATATAAATAAAATTAGTCTGAACAAAATATCTACATTAATTTATTGAGTTTGAACCCATTTTTCATCCCCCCCCCCCCCCCCAAAAAAAATTCCTTTCTTTCAAATTTCCCCTACACCCTGTTTTCTACCCTAGCATTAACTGAGATAAAAATGGACCCCAAACAATTTCCAAAGCATAGAAGTCTCATTTTTATGGACCTGATGATCCTCATAGTGAAATTTAGCCATCTCCTTGAGGCCAGCCACAAAAGTGTCAACACTTGGGATTTCTTCATCTTCTGGAGCATTGCTCTTACTATTAAGTTCATCTATGAAAGTACTACCATAAGAAGACAAAGAATTGTTTCTTGAGAGTTGAGGATTGTCGGCTCCATAGATCATTGGAGGAAGTTTCCACTGTTTCCTTTGGAGGCCTTCAGGTCTTCCAGGAAACTCTTTCTCTAAACCATTGGGCGGGGTATTCTCACCACAACTTTGTTCTTCCAACTCAGATATGGATAAAGAAAATGAGCGGCCCATCATATTAGCTCTACAGCTCTTGCTTCTAGTCAGCTTCAAGATTCTGGAATCTAGCATACTTCGTGACACGGCCCACTGAGATGACCTGTCAGGCATTTTCTGCTCCTCTAGTGCTTCTGGGATGAAATAACTTCTGGTGTCACTGGATTGTCCAGATGAGGTTGATGATAACTCCTGAGTAGAAACATTTCCGAGTCTAGGCAATACTGAAATCACCTCTCTGTTCTCGTTGTTGAGTAAACTAAAAGATTCAGGAGTATGATTTATGATACCAGAATCATCTTCCACTTCAATACAGTGAACTTCCTTGCAATGCTCATCAGAAACTTCTTCTTCGCTCCTAAATGCAACTCCGTTTCTACTTTCACTCAGATCCGATGAGACAACGCTCTCTTCATTGAGTTCAATCTCTGAACCAGTAACCGAGCAATCATCACATGCCTTCTCTATTATAGATTCAGAAGGGTAACTAATTTCTCTCTGCAACTCAAAGAAGAAGAAAATGATAAAGATTAGAACGAAGGAAAGGAAAGTTGAGAAATTTCAAATTTGTGCAGTGCATCTTCAACAAAGTACTCACTCGGTCCATTTGAGAATTTATAATAAATCTTATTAGAATTTATGATGCACCCTTTACAAGAAATCATTGGTCCTTTTTATAAACATCATTGTTATATGAAATTGTAATTGTACTTTCCATAGTTTGCCCCTAATATATACTGTTTTCATTTTTTTTGTCAAATTACTAAAAGTATCATTCCCAAGGTACTCGTTTAGGAAGAAAGGGAAAAACAAGGGTTTGATTGATCCTTTTTAAGAAATTTAAGTTCTCCGTATAATTTCTTTGCATGGGTATATTTTGTGCATTATGGTAAGGACCAGACGGAGTTTTAAATAAAAATGATAGTTCAAACCTTTTGGTTGGAACCCTGATCATTTCCTTTCATTTGCAGCAAATCTTCAACCCGTGATTGAGCAAGATCACGTTGTCTAGCCAGTTCCTTGATCTCTTTCTCCAACTGCATGCATGAATAACACACAACTATAAGATTTGAATGGAACTCTCATACAAAGTTGCAAACATCAAAACAAAGAGCGAATGTACAGAAGGAAGAGGCCTCACCTTTTCAATCAGCATATCTTTCTTCCTAAGCATGACCACATGATCACAGCAAGTCCCTGGGGCTCTCAGTTCACTCTCCAACCTAGCCAACTCTTTCTGTAGATGCTTCACCAAAGCCTTGTCAGACATTACTACATTGACTTGTGCATTCGTAGAAACCTCCTTTGCACAACAAGCAAACAAAAGTGTATTTCGAGATTGTTCAACATGGCTCCTTGCAGGGCTTAAGGTGCACACTATAGCCGTTCTAGCATTCCCCCCCAACGAAGGTTGCAAAATACGTGTTAACTTAGAATCTCTATAATTTACATGACCGTTTCTTCCTTTGCTGTAACAAGTCAAAGCAATGATGTCACAACACTGGGTTACCCAATAAAACCTTGATAATCTAGGAATCTAGCACATAAGAACAAAAACCAGGAAAATAATATCAGAGATTCTTGTAAATGGATTTAGTACTAAACCAAGCCATAATTATTTACCACTGGCATAGAATTATGCACACAAGATGGAAATTTTAGGCTATCTGGATGGAATGTTTTGGAAGGGCTTGGAGAGGATGGTTTTGGATGACTTAATTTATCTTTTGATATATATATTTATATAATATATATATATATATATATATATATATATATATATATATATATATATATATATGAAACTATTTATTAAAAAGGGTCAACATATATGTGTTCCCTACAGCACTTACTTGTTTTCCTAAATATTATCTTATTCAGTTAAAATACGCTAGCGATGTGCTAATATTGAAAAAGATATGCTCACACTGTGAGGTAGCTTTGTAAACAAATCTGTGATATGCTCAATGTCTCAGTTTTTAAAGAATCAAGTCTGCATGAGTCAGGTACCATACCATTAAACAATTGAATAAGGATGTTTTTAATTGGTCTGGAATTTTTTGGTGAGGTCTGGTGTGGTCTGCTTAAGTCTAATCTGAAATGGTCCGGTAGATGTGTGGTGTATGTGTATTTCACAATTGTCGAAATCTAGTCTATCGAAGTCTAGTTCATATTTTACATCCTTGCTTATCAAGTTTAAATTAGACAATTTATAATGACAAAGAAAAACCAACACCTATCTAAATAGGATTAAATAAAAGCAAAATTGCAACAATAGGAGCATAAAGTTTAAATTCCAAAGATATGACTAACTCTTTGTATCTTACTCTTTACCTTGTCATGCTTAATATGATATTTTTAAGGAAAAATTGATTGTATGATCCCAACTATTGGCGATCCGCTCATAATAATCCCAACTATCGATTATTTCAGAATAATCCCAACTTTAGAGACCTTCCGCCAATAATGGTCCAATGTGACTGACTATAAATAAATTTTTATAGTTTCTAAAGAGATATAGCAGGTAATCCCTATAAATAATCCCAAATTTTAATTTTTACGCTTAATTTCTCTTAAAAATTCACTTGTTAGAGCAGGTAATATGCGGTTATGGTCCTATGGACCATTATTGGCAGACGGTCCATATAGTTGGGATTATACAAAAATAATCAATAGTTGAGATTATTGTTAGCGGACCGGCAATAGTTGGGATTATTACTTTCAATTTTTCCTATTTTTAATTATAATAATAAAATATAAAGAATTTAAATAAAAAAATGTAAAAAATATATAAGTGTCATCGTGATGGCAATTTGGAAAGCAAACTTGGAAATTTTCAAAGAGTTCAAAGGAATTTAGCATTTCTTACACAAGATGACATCTTTTCCGACGATCGAAGTTGGGAGGTAGAAGATGCGGCGGCAGAGGTCTAAATATTTTTAATATTTTTTGGGTAAAATAATATAAAAATGTAGAATTAAAATAAAAAAATGTAAAAAATATAAAAGCCTCAACCAACACCTCAGCAACCTTCCAGCACCGCCACCTCCACCTCCAGTCGCTGGAAAAAATGCCAACTTGCAAAAAAAGTGTCATCGTGATGGCAATTTGGAAAGCAAACTTGACAATTTTCAAAGTGTTCAAAGGAATGTAGCATTGTTTACACAAGATGACATTTTATTCGACGATCGGAGCTGAGAGGTAGAGGATGCGGCGACAGAGGTCTACATATTTTTTATAATATTTGGGTATTTTATTTTTAATTTTTTTTTAATTTTTTAACTATTTTTTGTTTTCATTTTATTATTTTTATTTTATTTTATTTTTTCCCGTTTTTCATTATTTTATTTTATTTTTTCATTATAAACAAAACTATGAATTTCTTAGACAACAAGATCCAAGCCTTAGTCCCAAAAGATAGGAATTATAGGAAGAGGTAGAATACGAAGAGGGGACATATATTATTATATTACTCCTATTTTGGGAATAAGAAGATTGTAGTCCTAGTGTTGCATTTAGGAGTAATTTTAGTAAGAGCCGATATAAGTATGTTAAATTTGATGTTATGTGTTATATCAGCAATTATATACATGGCTTGATTTTTACAATCATTTATATATACTCCAAATTTTGTTCACGTCCACTTTTTGTCTGCAATTTGTCAGCGAGCACAAGAACAAAATTGATATATGTAAGAACAGAATTTTAGCCTTTGCATGCCTGATGTACATAAAGCATAAACTGTGGTAAAGACTTGATGAACACCTGAGCTTTCGAATCACAGTTCCTAGTGTTAGTAAACTACGGTTGATATGGCAGCCTTCTTTAAGCCTTTGACCAACTGATAATGCCTGAGAAGCGCGCTCACTTCCAGCAAGATCAACAAAGTTCTACATTAACAAGTTAAGGAATGCATTACATTTATTGATTGCAACCGGCATTTATAATGGCCACAAATGAATAAAAAGTAACCTTAACCAAACAAAGTGACACATACCACACTAGCTGAAAGAGTTGTTTTGTTCCCCTTCCCTATGAACTCACGAGCAGAGCTCTCAATTGTCTGAGAAAATCCCCAAGCAGAAGAGTAACAACTCAGTCCAGTAAGATTTGATGGAACCGACCACAACAACAACAACATCCAATGATCCAAGCCTTATTCCCAAAAGATTAGATGGAACCGACCACAAAAGAAAAAAAAATGTCACGTACAAGTCTAAGGATTTGATGAGATCTAGAACTTGCTTCGTTCAAGTAAGTCTCTCCAATTTGTCTTTGAGCTGCCAAAGATAACAAGAATACCTAAATTATGAATATGGAATTTCTAGTGCTATATTACAAGACAGCAGAATGGTAAAATTGAAACATCCTGCAAACCTTCACATATGGATAATAGTTCCTTGAGATGATCCCAGTCCCTCAGAGTTTCTTCAGTGAGTTTCTCAATTATAGTCCCTTTCTGGAGAAGCAAATATCTTATTAAGAAAGGTATGGAGACACCGCAAAAACTCATTAGAAATCCAAACTTACCTCTGGATCATCAAGCAGTCTTAGAGGAGAAGTATCTGAGCTGAGGAGGTCTCTAACCACTTCATTATAGATTTCCATTGCAGAGAACTTCAGCACAAATGCTCTTTCTTCATGCTGGTAGAAAGAAATGATGTTAATTAGCAGAAATTTCATATTAGATTTCAAATATAAAATGCTAAGCCAGTAAGTGTACCATGATACCTTTTGCATGTATTCATAAATATCGGCCACTGTGTATTCGGTTATTCCATTCATTGTATATGTCTTTCCACTGCTGGTTTGTCCATATGCAAAAATAGTTGCTGCATAAAGTTTAGCATTGGAAATGGTAAGTTCCCCCAAGGCAAATAACACATTTTTTGGAAAGACATTAAAAGAGATAATGATAACAATAATAATAATAATAATAATATTAATAGTAATAAGATAACAACAATAATAACAATAACTTACAGTTAATGCCCTTCACAACTGAAAGAGCAATATCCTTTGTTCCTGCCTCATACACTTCTCTTGTTAAACAGTCACCCCTAAATACTCTATCTGTCCCCAAAAGGAATGATGACAAATGAAGTTAAAATATAGGCTGATCCAAACACAGGAAGAGACCTTCACAATAAAATTCTTGCATCCTAAGCAATAAATGAGGTTTAAATGAAAAGGAGAATAAATCCCTTACCAAAAGTATAAGCACATGGTAGTCCGGAACGCTCCTGGAGGCTATTTCTATACAAAATGGTAGTTTCATTAATGCATTCCCAATCTGAAACTTCGTTCCTTGAAACCTCTTTTTCACTCAAAGGCCGTAACCTCACCAACACCAAGATCTTCTCGCCTCCTCCAAGTCCGGTCCCTTGCATTTTGTCCGATTTCATCAACTCTTCTTCACCAACGGCTCCCATTTCTACCCCCAACCCACCCACCCGCTACACTCCGTTCTGTTAAGCCTCCAGGATCAGATTAAATGCAATATGCGATCTCCTGAGATTCAAAAGCATATGAAAATTTTGAAGCAAGAAGCCTGAGCTTCTCACCGATCCATTTCCCTGTCCAAAAGAAATAATAAACTTGAGAATAGAAAACTAAATGGAAAGATATTAAACAGGTTTAGAAACCAGGTGGTTGTAGATGAACATCAATCAGATCTAGATAGCATTAATAATTAATCAGCTAACTAAGCAAATATAGAAAGCATTTATTTAAGGTAACTAATAACCACTTCAGAAACGTTAATTCAAGGATTAGTTGTGATTGAGCATTTTGGTTAGACTTTGACATCAAATGATTCAACAGGAAATACATACATATGTAAACACATACTCCCTCCGTTTCTGAAACAAGTTCCACCTTTCCTTTTCGGGCAGATTCAAAATTAAGTTCCACTTTCAAACATTTCCTTATTTGGCAAATCATCTACATTAAAACAGTGTCAAACAGTGTCAAACAGTGTTCAAACAGTGCCAAACAGTGCCAAACAGTGCACTCCACAGTAAAGTCAAATTTATTTTCTTAATATGTGTGAAGTCAAATGTGGAACTTGTTTCAGAAACGGAGGGAGTACATACATACATATATATACATACATACATTATACTCCGTACATACTAACATACATGCACACTCACACACACACAAGCATACATTGATACACACACATATAGAGAGAGAGCTAATAAGTAATCACACACACCGACACACATACATTGATACATACACATACATCGATACATACACATAAATAAATGTGTACATATATATAATTATATATATATATATGTAGAGAGAGAGAAAGCTAATCATTACAGTGTGAACCACACAGACGCCACTTTGCTTAATGGAAAAGAAAAGGGGTGGTGTGGCACTCTGTCCCCAAATATGCTTCAAACCTAAGTAACTCCTGCCGCAATTTTAGGATGGGCATTGTTCCGGTGAAGCTCCACATTATAAAAAAGGTGAAGACACAAAAACAAAAACTAACCCAGTTCAGTTAATTTCAGTTCACCTTACACATATATGGTAGATTCACACAAAGTCAGGTGAGCAGAAAACTCTACAGCGCCTCAAATCCTGCGCAAATAGTTAGAAAAGTTAGAATTTCATGTAAACAATAAACATATAAAAACAGCAACAAAATTCGGAATAAAATAAAATAGAAACACAGGAATCCGTCAATGCGCGTCCAGAATTGGCCAACTAGCAAGCATTTATCTCTGTTGAAATCGTTGATGGTGCATTTAATACCACTAACGGTAAAAAAAACAATTAAATAAAGCAGATTACAGCATCAAACACCGAATATTGGCATTTAAATGGTCAAATGCGAGCTTCTGGAGACAGGTGAAAGAGTAAAAACAGAGCTCCCTTAATTATATCCTTATTGATTTGATTCATAGCTCAAAACTTCAAATAATGAATGCTGCCGAAAATTTTCAGAGGAAGAAACGAACGGAAGTTAGAAACTCACGTTTCAAACTAGGCTCTCCTTTCTCTCTCTATCTCTATCTGTTGAGAGAGAGTTTGTGTTTGGTGAGGAGTCGAATAGTTCCATTTCTTTCTCTTTCTTTCTTTGCTTAGCGCCAGAGCTAACCGACGGGGGGGAAGGTGAGGAATTACCATTTTAGGCTTCTACTTTTTGTTAATGACAGCAACGAACAGTCTACGGATAGCACCTGCCACGTGCCAACGTGGCGCAGGAATATCGTGGGCTTGGTGCTCGCTTTATTCAACTCCCAACGTGTGAAGTTTCAGACTTCTACTGCTAGATTGCTGGGTCATGCCATGGACATGGACCCGCCTCTTTTCTTTTTCTTTAATAAAATAATTATACCGATTTTAATTTGTACCGATTACTTTATTTAATGAAATTTGTTTCATTAAAATTTCCGAATACAATTTAATAAAAACAGAGTTGGCTTTAAGTAGGACATGAATATAAATATGGGCCACCGTATCAGTGTACCAATAATATGTGGCAGCGTTTTATAATAATTATTCTTCACATCCACAAGGTTGGATGCCCCACCGCCCCCATCTCGATCAGACAGGATGATGGAGAAGTTAATCAAAGCGGCAGTAGGTCTTTATCATGCGCACCAGAGGCCAGTCTTATTTCAGATTCTGAAAACTCCCTTTTGGTCGTTGTGGGATTCGAACTTTGGTCTACGCCTAATTTTTCTCACCGCTCAACCAACTTAGCTACATGTGCGCGTATAATAATTATTCTTAGTACTATGCATATGTGGGGGAAATAAAAAATTAGAACTTGTTTGGTATTCCAGATTTTTGAGGTTTAGACACTTTTAATCTTCTTACTATTACGTTGTACTTAAATTTGTTTTTTTTAATTTGTCCATGCCTCGTTTAATTGGGTTGCCGCAAAATTAATGTCAGGTTTTCATTCAGTTTATTGTTTATAAATGTTGTTGTCAAACAATAAAGTAGGAAATAGATTGAAATAAAAGGAATCCTGCATCTCTATGATATGTTATACCTGAATTGACACACAAATTAAAAAAGGAAAGTTCCCGAAAAAGGACAAAAACAGTTTCAAAATTCCAAAATAGGACTGTCATGTTTTTTATTCTCAAAATGGGACTAATTACTGCCATGTTTAGAAAATACTGACATGTTTGAAGTCTGGTACTGCCAAAACATGACAGTAACTAATCCTATTTTGGGAATAAAAACATGACAGTCCTATTTTAGGATTTTCAAATTATTTTAATCATATTTCGGATAATATCTCAATTTAAAATGTGTAGGGCTTACAAAAATGCAGCCAAAATAGGATATTTTCGAACCTACAAGCCACATGTGCATTTTTGTGTGGGCAAGTTCACTAATAGATTAATTGCTTGTGACTTCATTGGTGATACCATCTCACATGAAATTTCATAGTCGGAATGTATCTTGGGCCTGGTTAGGCCTAGGCTCGTGTATAACAGGTTGATAGTACTGGGTCCGGCCCACTATCCCAACAATATGACCAGTGACACAACTTGCAAAATGCAAATGCTAGAGGCCTTGATTCTTCTTTTCACAAGCTTCTCCAACCTAAAGATTCTGAGCATGCTAGGAGTTATAGTCCGGTATGCACATCATTATATCGTACTCCCTCCGTCGCTTAAAACTTTGCAAACTTTCCTTTTTTGGATGTCCACTAACTTTGTCACTTTCACTTTTAAGTAAAGAAACTGTGGTTTCAATTGATTCTCTCTACTCTGCATAAATCTCTACCACATTGTTTTTACTTTATTAATCTCTATGCCGGTCAAACTTGGTAAAGTTTGAAGGGACGGAAGGAGTACATTTCTAAGATGGTACATTGCTCAATAGCATAGCTTTCAGATTCCTACATTAACTAAACCTTATTTTCTCCATAGGTTTTCAACTGCCCAACACTACAAAAAAATTCGCCTGTAATCACGGACCGTAGTCACGGATTTGGTCCGTGACTAGTTAGTCACGGTTCTAATCACGGTGTAGTCACGGAATCGTTAAAAAACAAGTAGTCACGGATTTGTCCGTGACTACGCCCGTGACTAAAGGTAGTGACGGACCTAGTCTGTGACTAAAGTGTTCCGGCCAACACATTTTCGCCTCCGGCGGGATTTTTTTTAAATTTGAAATTAGTCACGGACAAGTCCGTGACTAGTACCGTGGCTACAATTAGTCACGGACACGTCCGTGACTAATTCCATGACAAGTGCAAAAATTGATTTTTTCAACGTTCCAAATTTAAAGTGCACCGACAATTCGTACAAAAACAAGTAGTCACGGACATATCCGTGACTACGTCCGTGACTACAAAATTTATATATGCAGCCTCGGCTTCCTTCAACAAAATCACACCTTCTACGTACTCCAGATAGAATTCCAGATAGAATTGAAGGATTTAATCTACCCATCTCATATCATTTTTCCTGTTTTTGCAGATAAGGTATGTAATTTGAATTACGTATTTTTGTAAATTAGTTAAATATGTAAATTTGTTAATAAATACATATGTAAGTATATATATTATTAAATATAATATTGGCAATACATATGTTATTAATTTTAAAATATAGGATTAAAATTACGTAAATTAGTTAAATACGTATGTAAGTATATATGATTAAATATAATTTAAATGCATATTATTAATATTAGTTAATAAATGTAAGTATTATTTAATTCAAATGACTTTACATATATATATATATATATATATATATATATATATATATATATATATATATATATATATATATATATATATATATATATATGTATATGATTAAATATAAGTATATGATTTCTTTATATTGGCAATTATTGTTAATTAAGGCGGCCTAATTTAGAATTAATAATGATTTAAATTAGGGTTAGTTAATTTAATTTAAATGTGTTTATTATATATATATGCTCAAATTATTGAATTTGCTCATATTATTTAATTTAGTACGTAAATTGTTAAATGTGCATTATTAATAAGATTAAGATGTTGATAATTTTAGTATTGTGGATTAAATTAATGTCATTAACGTATTTTGCATGTTTATAGTTTAATAATATTAATTATTAGACGTTAGTTAATTTTAATGGGATTTTAGTGAATTTTAGTGAATTTTAGTGAAATTTTAGGCAATTAGTTAATTTTAAGGGAATTAGTTAATTTTAAGGGAACTTTTGGGAATTAGTTAATTTTAAGTGAATTTTAGTGAATTTTAGTGAAATTTAAGGAAAGTAGTTAATTTTAAGGGAATTTTAGGGAATTAGTTAATTTTAAGTGAATTTTAGTGAAATTTAAGGAAACTAGTTAATTTTAAGGGAGTTAGTTAATTTTAGGGAATTTTAGGGAATTAGTTAATTTTAAGGAAATTTTAGTGAAATTTAGTGAAATTTAAGGGAATTAGTTAATTTTAAGGGAATTTTAGTGAATTTTAGTGAAATTTAAGGAAACTAGTTAATTTTAAGGGAATTAGTTAATTTTAAGGGAATTATTTAATTTTAAGGGAATTTTAGGGAATTAGTTAATTTTAAGGGAATTTTAGTGAAATTTAGTGAAATTTACGGGAATTAGTTAATTTTAAGGGAATTTTAGGGAATTAGTTAATTTTAAGGGAATTTTAGTGAATTTTAGTGAAATTTAAGGAAACTAGTTAATTTTAAGGGAATTAGTTAATTTTAATGGAATTATTTAATTTTAAGGGAATTTTAGTGAATTTTAGTGAAATTTAAGGAAACTAGTTAATTTTAAGGGAATTAGTTAATTTTAATGGAATTATTTAATTTTAAGGGAATTTTAGGGAATTAGTTAATTTTAAGGGAATTTTAGTGAATTTTAGTGAAATTTTAGGAAACTAGTTAGTTTTAAGGGAATTAGTTAATTTTAAGGGAATTATTTAATTTTAATGGAATTTTAGGGAATTAGTTAATTTTAAGGGAATTTTAGTGAATTTTAGTGAAATTTAAGGAAACTAGTTAATTTTAAGGGAATTAGTTAATTTTAAGGGAATTATTTAATTTTAAGGGAATTTTAGGGAATTAGTTGATTTTAATATATTAATAATACTCCACATATATAATATGTTGGTAATGTTTATAATTTAGAGTTTTTAACCTGTATAATTTTTTTATTATAATATTCAGGCATAATGTATAGACAAAATAGAATTGTACGATAAACATGCGGTATTGTACGGAATGCAATCAAATTTTCTTGAAGGAGTTGAGGAGTTTATTAAATTTGCACTTGAACATCCGGCTTATATGAGTGGTGATAAAATCAGATGTCCATGTTCAAAGTGTAAAAATCTCAAATTTAAACACCCAGAAGAAGTTGGGTGGGATTTGTACGCGGACGGTTTCCTTCCCAATTATTACAATTGGACTTCTCATGGCGAACCTTTGGATCCATCTGTTTTACCACAAACTGTAGGTTCGTCTCGTAACGTCCCTGCAGAGATGAGTGCGTGGGGAGACCCTGCTGAAATGAGATGGGAGCAACGTATGGTATATGACGCATACGGTGCATCGATGTCTCAGTTCAACCCCCCACAACCATCTAACGATCCTCCTGAAGCTTCGACCTCGTATGGGAAAGGCCTCAATGGTGTTCGGATGAGGTATGGGAAAACCTCGTCCGCCACTGGTCTTCGGATCCGACTTTCTTGGCCAGAAGCGAAGCCGGGAAGAAAAATCGGATGTCCGAGAAGGCAATGACGACACAATGGCACGGAGGCCGCAAACCCCAGAGTAAACATAAAGAAGCTCTGGTAAGTCTTATTCAAATAAACCTACACCATTTTAATCTTTTATTTTTTTAAATTTATTTAAACCTTTTTCTAACCTTGTAGGCGGGGCCTCAAAGGAAGAGGGTCCCTATCCTCAGTGTAATCAAACATTGTTGGACGAAGAGCGGTGTTGAGTCGCCAGCCAATCTACCACCCCGCCTTGCTGAAATCGAAGTATGTAACATCAATAATATTATTTCAAAATCAATACTATTATTTCAAATTGAAGTAAATATCATTGAATAATTTTTTTAAATGTTTGTAGACAAAGTATAACGCAAATGTTGAAAAGAAGCGGGCGGAACTTGGCTTGACTCAAGAAGATGACATCGGTTCTGATGTGGAAGATGATGCCATCCTTGAGGCAACAGGGGTGTACAAGGGTCGGCTTCCATGCCTCGGGGCTGAGGGGCAACGTATTTTGTACGATCGCAACGGCAGCGGAGCTTCATCATCTTCTCAATCTAGACGAGGAGAGGATCCACGCATTGCCCAATTGCAGCGAGAATTGGAGGAGCAGCAGCGTGCATTTGAACAACAAAGAAAGAATGATGAAGAAACGCGGGCCCGGCTGGAAGCGATGGAACGGATCCTTGCTGGATATCAGCCTCCACCTCAACCTCATCCTCGGCCGTACATTATGCACGTTGAGCAGACTCCTCAGGTTCCGCACATGGGTGGTATGGGTTATCACTCTAACTCCGGTTATGGTGCCATGCCTGCAATAGGGTCTACATTTGGATCTCTGTCGCCTGATATGCTCAATCAGTTTCAGTCATCGGGAGGAGGCAGCCGAGGAAGTCACCGAGGAAGTCACCGAGGAAGCAACCTAGGAGGCAATCGAGGAGGCAACCGAGGCAGCCGAGGAAGTTCCCGACCCTTGGACCCCGTGGATGCAGAAGAGGATCATCATCGTCATTATGATGATAATGATGATGAATACGATTACGATGATTCTAATTATTATCACAATGGAGTCCGACGTACGGGCATGTAATTACATTATATTGTTTGACATTGTATTGATTTTGTTTTTATAATTCTGTCTGTAACAACATTTTTATTTTTAATAGCGTTTGGAATTTATTTTTATTGTAATTTCTCTAAAATAAAATTAAAATAATTTTTTATTTTTTGTAAAAAATTGTTTTTTTTTAAATCAAAAACATTAGTCACGGACTTAATCCGTGACTACTTTTTAATCCGGAATAAATTCAATTTTCCTTTTTTTATATAAAATTGTTTTTTTTTTATAATCAAAAATATTAGTCACGGACCGGATCCGTGACTAAATTTTATCCAGAATAAATTCTATTTTTTTAGATTTAATATAGTCACGGATACGTCCGTGACTACCACAAAAATAAAAAAAAATTAAATTGAACGTAGTCACGGCTCGTGTCCGTGACTAATTCAAAAAAATTTAAATTAAAAGTAGTCACGGATATGGTCCGTGACTAACGTGCCGGAGGCTTATTCCGGTCAAGATGTAGTCACGGACGTCGGTCCGTGACTAATCCGTGACTACACCTAGTCACGGCCACTGGTCCGTGACTACATTCTAGTCACGCAGAACTAGTCACTGAACTAGTCACGGACGAAGTCCGTGACTAAAAGTGTTAGTCACGGACTTTTTACACTACGGTCCGTGACTACGTCCGTGACTACAGACGAATTTTTTTGTAGTGCAAAATCTAAAGGAAATTTCATTACATTTGTCAATAATTGTAAGTGACACTTATTTCTTATCAGGGCCGGTCCTGCTCATTTGCGGGTCTATGGGCGGTACGCTATTCTGGACTTATATACAAGACAAACCGTAAACCATATACTTATTTGAAATATGAATTATAATAAAAATATCCAATGAAGTTCTAAAATAAAGGCGAGAATCACTTCATTATTATCTAAGTTACATATTTGGGCAAAAGTAACAACACGAGTATCGGATAAAAAGAAAAAACATTAATAAAAACGTTTCTCGTAGAACAATGTGAAACAAATAATCAATAATCGCTTCATAGACAACTTTTTTTCCAATAATAAATATGACAAACAATAAAATTGCCACATATAACAACACTAAACTTTCTTTTGAAAGGATAAAAAAAATTAATACATATTGAATTCATAAGTTGAGAATGATTTATTGATCGCTGATGAGAGTCTAAAGTTTGAAGTCTCGAAAGAATGAAGGTTTTAAAAGAGACAAAATGTTTAGCCGAAAATAAGACTCGCGCAAGAAGTCTGCCAATTGGACGTCCTCTAAAACTACTATTAGGAACTCAGATATAGTTAATTGAAATTTTGGAAACAAATAAATAATTAGGATGAGATTTGAGAGAGACAGACTCTAAAATAATTAAGTAGTATATAAATTTGTTATGTTATAATTAAAATGAATAAAATGCATTAAAGAGTACATAGATGTGAAGACCGAAGAGACATGTCTTTCATTGATGCAGAAACAATTGTATTGCTTTTAAAAACTACAACCGATCCTACTTAAAATTAATGTATATATTCTTTTATAAACTTCGCATTGTTTAAGACTTTTTATTCACATTTTGAATTTTCAAATTGTCAACAACTCAACATAATTAAACATTAGGCCTAATTAATTGAACTTAAGAATAAAAAAAGAAACCTACTGACACTATATATAAAGAAAAAAAATTGGATCTATTTTTTCTTCTATTTTTTCGAGCCTATAGCGGTCGCCCCTCTTGCCCCTCAAAACCGGCCATGTTTCTTATAATCTAAAGGTGAGCATAAAACCTGCAGGTAAAGTTTTATAATTCCTTTGTTGCGGTTTCCCATTTCTATTTTCAATTTTTTGACTTCAAAGCGTGGATTCAATTATTCTAGAACATACGTTGTTATATTTGTTTCGATGGGATTTATTTGTATGACTGCTCTAAAGTTTGCATTACTTTTCTTTCTGTAGGTAATCATTTTGCTATCTTATCTGAATTTGGGTTGAATTTGAGTTGAGATTATGATGGAGTAAAGTAAAATGACTCACTAAATTGTCTGCGCTTCTTTGATATGAAGCAACCGTCAGTCCATGCAATTTTGGACGCGTTTTTCACTATAGGTCATCCAGAAACAGTCTCTCTGTGTTTTAGTACACCCCTTACCCCACCGTAGGTGGGAGCCTTTGTGGCACTGGGGTAAATGAAAATGATGATGAAAAATGAAATCTGAATTTGGGCTTAGATTTTCATGATATTTGTAGCAGTTTGAGGAGATTTCGTTTCCTCCCTAAATGAAAACCATAAAAATCGCACCAACTAAAGTGAGTTTGCTGGTTTATGTTGTTCAATAGGTCAGACAAACAAATTAAATAACTCGTCATGATGAAGGTAGCCATTTTTTCTCAGACGCCCTTTGTTTACACTTAAGAGCCCAGTTTTACCTTACCCCTCCATTGAATTTATGTAGTTTGCTTAAATTTATTATGTTTAACAGATTGTAAAGAATGTGTTAAGATGAAATGCCGTATTTGTCAAGGGTGATATGAGTATTGTTCACACTGGCCAACAATTTGTTTCGATACTTGAATGGATGAGATTCAAGTTTGTAAATAAGGAAATAGTGGAGAGATATTGAGAAAGCATTCATACTCAAAAGTGGGGTTTAATGCACCAAACCCTATGGAAATTCAACGCATTAACCCATGTGATTTAAAAAATGCGTCAAACTCCCTTGTGTTTTATTTAATTATGCACAAAATCCCTTTTATGAATAAATTCAATTGTCAAATAAAATAAAAATGATTAACATTTTTGAACGCTTTAAAGATTTTGACATATTTACTTGCATATTCAATCATAATTTTAGGAAAAGTGATTCCAAAATCATTAAATTTATTCATAAAAGGGGATCTGTGCATGAACAATTAAAATACAAGGAGGTTTAATGCATTTTTCAAATCACAGGAGCTAATGCGCTTAATTTCTATATCACGAGGGGGTTTGGTGCATTAAACCCCTCAAAAGTGTGGTCACTTATGAAAGACCTTTGAATTTAGTATGTACATGCTTTGTTTTGGTGTTATCTTTTAATTGTGCATTTGAAATAAAATAAAAACCTTTTATAGATGGTAACCTAAATCTGTTACATGCATATACTTACTCTTCCCTCTTTGACTTATCAAAGACGAGAGACCCTTCACTATTTTTTCTGAACTACCTACAAATAAATCACTTTAATGCAATACTGAATCGGTAATTGAATCACCAAATCGACCTGTACAATCGGACAAATCATTATGACTTACTCGGATGGGCAGCGAAGTAGGCAAGCGCACCCACAAACGGCGCATTAATATAAGTCGTGGGCTCCGACTTCTGGAAATCGCCGCGGTCATCCTCGAACTCGTCGTTCTTCCCGGGCCCACCCACGACCGCCCCGACCAACAGGTTCGGGTTCGGGTTCGACGAGTTGAAATAAAAAACGTACCCGTCATGGCAGGCGATGGGTTGCGGGTGGTCCTTGACCGAAGGCAGAGACGACCCGCGGTGGTGGATCCGTTGGGGGAACTCGTGACCGTACCCGACCATGTACGAGAGTTTTTTCGGGTTGTCGCCTAGGATGTAATCCACTTGCCTCTTCGCCACTTTCCGGAGCATGGCGGGGCTGACGGTGACGCTTCCGCAGTGGACCGTCTGGGAAGACCGCTCCAGGGAAGAGGCGTAGACGAGCAGCATGAGACTGAGTAGGGTGGCGTGCTGCAGATTGCTGCCCCCGGGCTTGTAAATTAGGCCTGCTGGGGTGTAGTCTACGTGTGAAGTGGGGGTTTCAGGGATCAATGTGCACATGAAGCTGTCCGCTGAGCCTTTGTATGCTTCTAAATCATCTACGCTGCCTTCTAACACTTCCTGCATTATTACATTATATTGCATTAATTGATGACCCAAAAAACAAAAAGTACAATAAGTGTAGAATAAATAGCGTTTTCGGGTAAAACACCATAATCTAAAAAAACCATTACCTAAGTTTATACTTATTGGGGCATTCTTGTTGGTGTAAGAGCCATTACAGCGAACCTTTTTACCGAACATCTATTGCTTGGTTTCATGCATTGAATTGTACAATAATCAAAATAAGTGAATTTGAGATTACTTTTTCACATAATTCGTTGAAATCGACGAAGAAGATTGTTTGCTATTTTTTCATACAATTTTTCTTTACATTATTAATAAAGGGGTATTTTGAGTTTGCACCCCATTTCATTGTCGAAATTAGACTTTGCACCCCGTTTTTGAAATCTTTAGTATTTGCACCTCAACCTTGTATGAAAAGACTAAAATGCCCCTCAATTAACAATTTTGTTGACCTTCAACATAATCCTGATTGAGGGGCATTTTTGTCTTTTCATACGAGGTTGGAGTGCAAATACTAATGATTTCAAAAACAGGGTGTAAAGTCTAATTTGGATAATAAAATGGAGTGCAAACTCAAATTATCCCATTAATAAAACATAATTTACATATAAATTTTCTCAATTCATCATGTTCAACGAGTTCCGTCACTCAATTTATTTGAGTTATTTGAGTGTTACTGCAAAAGCTCTAAGTTTAGTCTTATTTTTTAAGATGTCTCTGTTCTGAAAGTGAACCAGAAAAAGTGAAAAAAGGAGTATAAGGATCGGTCAATAAGACTGAACCTTAGAAACGAGAACGTTTATGCCGGCGTACTTATTGTCCCAACCGAAGTCATTAATAGTGTCAGAATCACCAAGTGTTTGCCGATTGGTGTGCAGATAGTTTAAGTAAGTATCATTCTTAGTAGCCCTCCTTAGCCATGCTGCTGACCACAGCAACTCATCCTGCATAGCAGCGGACTCAGAAATCTATGATCAAAGGGTCGATCGTAAAATTTTTTATTTGCAGGGTCAAAGTTTAAAATATCAACATACTTTCTGTAGATTAAAAGTATTTATACATAATATATATTTAAGAATTTTTTTCTTGCAGGGGCCGAGTCCCCTCTCTATCTCCGCCCCTGGTCCTGCATGACCATGATCATTCATAATCAATATTAAGCCCAAAAAAGTGACTCTATATCTGCATTTTGTCATTGTTTTATTTCTGAAATTTTCTTTGGATAGTGATAAATCCATAAATATTGCTAAGACTTGCCTGGTACCCATCGAAATCACAGTAAAAGGGGCAAACGGCGCCCCTAATATTAGCATTGTCACTATAAGCTCCCCGGAAAGAATCTGCATAACTGAAGACCCGTGTGGCATTTGACAACAGAATATGAGCATAGTCGGGGTCGGAGGACCGGAATGCCAGGGATGAAGCGGCCAAAGCGGCAGCAGTCTCTCCGGCTATGTCGGACGCCGGGTTCGGGGCATCCACACTGTACACAGTCCGAGGTGTATCCATATCTTCCGGCCGTTCCCAACACATATGGTCCAATATCGGATCTCCCACCTGTGCATTTTTGTTACTACTCACAAATTACTTTTCTCAACCTTTTTACGAAGATGAAAATGTGCACGCTGCCATTTCGACTTTATTTAAATAAACAATGTAAACGATCAGAAATAGGAACTAATACGTAGGTAATACGTATGTTTAAACAGGACTAAGAGTTACAAAGTGACAATATATTTAACAAATGACTCATTTGATCCTATTAAAAGTACACAGGATAAAATTACCCAATTAGAAATGATGATTTTTTTGTACATTTTGTCGATGTGTTAGTCCTATTTGTGAATTTTATCCAAAAATGACTTTTTATATATGTTTTAATTTAGTGATTATAAAAGTAACATTAATGACCATTATTAATTTGATTTTACATTATAATGACAGTGATAGTGTAGTTTTAACAACTTTAACGACATTTTCACCTGTATATTCTTATTTTAATACTAGTATTCCATTATATTTAAGGAAAAACCTCAACAGATTATCTATGGATTTATGTTTACTATCACAATTTTCCTATTCAAAACATAATTTATTTGTTTATAACTCATCATGTAAATCATACAAGTATTCATCATTCATTAATAATGATATTTTACTCATTACTACACGAGTGCTAATTAAGTATGAATCAACTCATAATTGTTAATGCTTAATAGCATTAACAATTATTTTTATGGAGATATAGGTCGGGAAGACCTCATGAACTCAACTACCAAAAGTAAAATAACTCAAGAATCAAGATATTATACGTTATGTGTGATCTTGGATTTAATTTGTTATCGGACCGGTTTGATTTAATTAAACTACTATGTATATCTTAGACTATCCCTACTTATCGCAAAACTCAATAAAGAGTTGTTAATTGAGCTACTTAACATGTAGCATATAATCTTGAAAGGATGTTTCGATCCCAAGACCAGAACAAACTTACATAGACCAAATCAGATCTAATCAGATTTAAACAGATTAGACCAAATCAGACTTTCATAGTTATAAAATACACAAAGATCAGACATTTACAAGACCAGCTCACATCAGACCAGTTCAGATTAAATCAGAACAGACTCTAACAAACCAAAAGAAACCAAGCCAGAAAAGGTCAAATCAGACAAACTAACAAATTTCAATTCAAAAGAAAAATGACTTGCTATATGACTTTGGTGTATGTTGGAAAGACAAAAATGATAATATATATTACGTATGATGTTAGTTTCAAGAACAAAAGTACCGAGTAATTAACATTATCTACACAACTAACCATGGTATATATATGGAAAGGTATATAGCCCCTATAAATCTATAATGTATATATACTCGTGTATACTCCTATATAATACGATTATACGAGTAGTACAGAATATATTGCGTAATATGGAGTAGATAACTTTGTTATTGATGAAGATAACATAGAGAGTAGTGTTGCACGAAAAATTAAAACTTAGTTTAAGGGAAACTATATCAGATGATGTCCAGCCAAAACGTCATACTTAGTATTTCAACACCGCAGTCCTGCTCGCGCCACCATGTACATCTTTGTAGCGAGACATGCATGACCCTAAATATCTTAGAGAAATTTTGGAGGTTGATAGATTTTAATTAACTTCACTACGTACATGATATGTTAGAAATATAGTTGTAATTAGTGATGTTTTATACAAACTTCAATCTCTTTTTGGATGTATAAAAAAATGTAACCTTAAATAAACAAATTATACAAAATAAAACATACGATAGTATATAGAAAACATTTATCTAAACTCAGCTTAAAAGTGGTCTTTAAGTGGTCGAAAAGTACTGAAATCACATTAAACTCGACTGTATTTCGTAACAAACCATATTTTCAACATTACTTTGATCTTCAACATATTTGAGGAGTAAGACCACCGTGATCGTGAAAGTAGGAAGAATCATTGAAAACACGACTTCCTTTATCTCTCTTTTTTTTTTGGGATGAAATGTAAATTTATATTAACACCCAAAGAAAACTATACATCATGAGTTCTAGATCCCTTTATCTCTCTTTAGTGTGACTTGAAGTGGAGAGTTCACACTAAAGAGGGACTTGTAGGTGAGTCTTCTGTCAAATGAGTTATACCAAATACTACATCCGTCCCTTTGAACTTTGCCAAAGTTGACTGACACGGAGAATAATAAAGTAAAAATTGTGTGGTTGAGGTTTGTGCAGAGGAAAGAAATAACAGAAACCACAAAATAATTGATTAAAAGGAAAAGTGGCAAAGTTTTTTGGGACGTTCCAAAAAGAAAAGATGACAAAGTTTTAAGGGACGGAAGGAGTAATTTCTTTCTCTTAGCTAGGTGAGTGTTCAGTCAAATGAGCTACACTAAATAATAATTAATTTGCTAAAAAAGCAAATCTTTAGCGAGGTACACTTTTCTTGATATTAAAAAATGTGAGAACTCCGGTGCCCATTTAAAAAATGAGGTATCGTACCTGTCATTCAGTTGATTGGTTCACATCATTATATCATTATTTATTTAGATTTAAATAATTCAACTGCAACATTCTCATTGGTCCATGTGGACAAAGGTATGATACCTTATGGGTACCATAGAATCTACCATTAAAAAATGATTTAGACAAATTCTACGAGAACCAATGAAAGTTTTACAAATTTACATCAAAAATATTAATAAATGATAAAATAACGACTTTGGACCAATTAAATTTAGGGAGAACTATCAAATAAACCCTCAAACTTTCATAAAAAATGCAAATAAGCCCTTTTATAGGAGGCTCTGGCCGGCCGGTGCCATTTGAGGCGGTTTCTGGTGTAATTTTTTGATGAAATTTTTTTATCATCTTCTTCATTAAGTCTAGTTTACTCATACCAAATTTCAGTTAAAAATTCAATCGGGAAGGCAGCCAAATGAATTGTTGAAGACAACTGCGCAGCTAAGCAACGCAGTATATTTCAGAAAATCATTTGACTGCCTTCTCGATTGAATTTTTAGCTGAAATTTTGTATGGATAAACTAGACTTAATGAAGAAGATGCTCAAAAAATGTCATCAAAAAATTCCACCGGAAACCACCCCAAATGATGACATCCGGACACAGCCTCCTGTAAAAGAGCTTATTTACACTTTTTATGAAAGTTCGAGGACTTCTCCCTTAAATTTATTGTAAATGTATTGTAAGTATGTTACTCTCGTTTATTTGTGAGGGACTGGCACTCACGAATGACTTAATGGTCCGTTTTGATTATCAATAAAGTTGCGCAATCGTTGACTATTTGAATGTACGTTTAATGTTTTTTTTTTGAAAGTACGTTTAATGTTGTTAGTTTTCACCATAAACAAAAACTCACAACCACCCCGGCACCATAGTTAAGAAGTTGCTTTGTATCTTGCTGTTTTTCCTATTAGTTTTTTTTTTTTGAACGAAACTGTTTTCCCTATTAGTTGAAATAACTGATAAATTAACTTTTATGCCTTTATTATTTTGGAAAACAACAAAGGAATGTGTAAATTTGATCATCAACGTCGTCAGGGTCCCCACGAACGGTTACAATCTCCTAATTAATAATTATGGCTAATGCCTAGTACGTGCTATTATAAACTATACAGACATAGTTCTTACGAATATAATGATACTTCGTAATAGAATATTCTATGTTTCAGGTTTGTAATAACTCACCTCTTTAAATAATTAATGACCTTTTCAGGACTTATTTGTTGTTGAGCTGCTAAGATAAGCATACTTGTTAATGATATAATTCCTAAATTAAGCATATGGTTGGTGAAGTAAATCCTATAATTAATTGATCAAAGAATACTCTAAATAGAGAATAAAAATAATACGGAGTATGAAACTCAAAAATCAAAGTACGTTATTTCTCCTAAAAATGAAGGAGTAATTATTGTAGTGGTTGAAAAATAACACCAATCATTGGAGTAATTGAATACTCCATCCATCCTATATTTAACTCCGGTTTTGACCGGACACAAGTCTTAAGATAGTGAGATTTGTGTGGTGGGGAGTTGTGCAGATGAGAGAGAAATGTGTAAGAATGTGTAAGAGTGATTGTGAACCACATATTCTTACCGAAAAGGGAAAGAGAAATAAATTTGGAACGGACCGAACCGGAAAGAATGAAGATAAATGCAGAGCAGACGAAGTACTTTTTATTTGATTGAAATTTTCTGATTTAATCTAGTCTGGTATGATCTGAATCGATTTGGTCTGATAAACGTTTGGTCTCAATTAATTTGATTTTATCTGATTTATTTAAGTCTAGTCGATGAAGGAAACGGTCCAAATAAAAAAAATCAATGTATAATCATAAAATTTTATGTTATTTTTACTCCTATTTTCCTTAATTAAGGTAAATTTTATGAAATTTACCTTAATTATTTTAATCAATCAATTAATTACGAGGTGCGAAGGCAGAGAAAGGAAGGCCTACCTGTACGAAAATGCGGTCGGGCTGAGACACAGTTTTGAGAAGGTAATCGGTGGCCCACTTAATAGCCACCAACGCATTCTCCAACTCCGCCGGCGGCATGTCCCGCCCGAATTCAATGACACTCCAGGCGAGCATTGTGGTGGTGAATGCCATCGGGAATCCGAACTTGATGTTGTCGCCGGCGTCGTAATAGCCGCCGGTGAGGTCCATGTCGACCGTCCTGCCATCTCCCAACCCCGAATGCCCCCGCCAAGTCATCCTCTGCTCCGGCGGCAAGCGGCCGGAACGCTGGCCCTCGAAGAACAGCAAGCACTTCGTCAATGCGTCGGCGTAATTGTGCGATTCCGTCGCCGGCAATCCATTGAGAAGCAAAATCGTAAGAACCAAAGGAATGAGAGAATGAAGAGATTCAATCCGTTTCATTATGGTTGGGCCGTTATAGGTAGCGAAGCGGAAAAGTGTGACTGAATAGTGCGAATATGTATATAAATATATACAGTATATAACTATATCTCTACTATAATTAGAGAAACAGAAATTAAGGAAAAAATTGCTTTTTATGTGGAGATCGACATGAAAGGATTCACGGGAGAAGAGGAGACATGAGAGGGAGTAGCATATGATCGCTCACACGACGGCTGGTGGTGGTGAGTCCGTTAAGTTTTCCCCGATTTTGTAGCTTTGCCTTCCTCATCTTTGTGTGGAACCAACTCTTTCCATCATGGGAGTGGTAATATAGTGTGAGGGCCTGAGGGGTAATTTTATGTAAATATTGGACTAGTTTATATACACGTATTTAAATTTATTGGCCAAATTGTATGGTACACTAAACTAATCTTGTCTACATAACTACATTGATCAAAATTAAATTAAATATTGAATGTCTTGTTTTAGTTTGACACAATTTTTAATGAAATGATTGAAAAGTAAAAGTTGTTATTGAGGTTTGATTAGAATAAAATGAAATTATATGAATCATACTCCATATATTTTTTTGTCAAGAAAAGGAAACTGAACATTCATTTTGGTATAATTCAAACAGAAAAGTAAAACAATCAAAATGAGAAAAAGGAGGTTGTTGAATAGTTTAAATATGAACAAATAATGAAGCTATGAAGCAACCGGTTCACCGGGCCGGTCCGGGCCCGCACAGTAGCGGACCGGTCAGGTTCAGGGACTGTTGGCCCGGCCCGAGTCCACTCCTAAAACTAACAGCCTAATTTGATGGGGAGCAGCCACGTGTAAAGCTGATTGAAGAGAGAGTCTTCAACAACTGGCTGATTGGAGTGTGCTCCTAACAGAATTGCTGCCAGAAATCTCGTGTGGTTAAGCGTGGGTAATTGAGAATATTCCCTGGTGACGTGGCGGTCTCTCCTTGAGGGGTAGATCCTTGCGGATTTTGTCTAAGTCCATGATGCTTTATTCAGACCTTGGGGTATTATTGAGGTCGATGTCCGGGAACTCGGGCCCGTGATGAGAGGACCCCCCCCCCTCTGTCTCATGTTTCCACCTTTTGAGGTAGTTGACTGCCTGGTGCTTGAGCACTGTTGACTGAGTGTTTGACTTTCCGGGATCAGACCTGGTACCGACCTCGGGTGCATCGAGGTCGGGCTCTTAACTTGCCGAGTTCGGTTGATTCCCGAGCCTGTTGTTTTCCCGACCTCGGGGTCGGGGTTGGGCTCTGCTAGCCTTGTCATTCGTTGAGTTTGATTGATTCCTGAGCTTGGTGTTTTCCCGACCTCGACGGTCGGGATCAGTCTTGGAGTGTGGACTTAATATTTTGCGTACTTCAGAATGGGTCCGTGATATTTTATACCGGTGATTATGATACCTCTGGGGTATACGAGGATATACTCCATCACCATTATTGCTCTAGTTTTATATAACTACTCTTTTGGTCACCCCATGTTCGATTTCAAGATCCGTCCATGACGCAATGTTGACATATTCCCTCACATATTAAAAAATCTAACTCATCAATCATCATCGACTCCATCGTGTGGTCAAGCGTCTTACTGATTTGCAGATTTCCCGTTATAATCTCAAGCAGAACGCTTTCTAAGAAGAATATATTACTATGACTCCTCTCAATAGGGTCTTTACATAAACAAAAAGTGAAATGCATAGACAAAAAATCGTATACACAAGTAATAATATAATGTGAAAAAGTGGAGTTTAGAAGCTTGATGATGGCTCCCAAGTTAAAGCGATCTAAAATGATCTAGAAGAGAAATAAAAACACATGAAAACGAAATTTTCTTTCTTGTGAATATGTCAACATTCATTTGGACGGACAAATAGCGAATTAGATAAATTAACACACTTTTGTGAGAGGAAGTGGGAATACGAGTTATAGGGCAAGATTCAGCCCATGGGCCAGGGGTAAACTCGGTGGATAAGTTCTTGATATCAATAGGTCAAACCACATGCCTTGCGGTCCTGTTAAATCACTCAGACCCAATTGTGAAGGAACAAAACTGTGCCCTCTTTCAATAAAAAAAAAAAACTACCTCCTTAACAGATATATCTTCTCATTTGAAAAGTATGTGAGATTAAGAATAGTGAAAGGAGATATAAATTATTGAGGGTGTGATGGAGAAATAATGAAATAGTGTGCTGGAATGCAGGATAAATCCAAAAAAAGTAGTTGCAATAGTGTATTATTTTTAAAATTATTGAGGGTATGATAGGAAGATGTAGAAATGAGAAGATATGAATGTTACAGCTAAAAAAGGAAAGTGGGAAGATATGAGTGTTACGGAGGGAATAGGGAATACTCAGTATAAAAGCATGAATCGATTTTGTTTGCATTCTAGTAAATGACGACGACAATTGAGATAAATTATTCACAGAAGGGGGAGTACGGAGTATATTATGATTATTCATCACGGGGCATGTCGTCTTGTTGAGGCAATAGCATCACAGTCTTCACAGAGGACACCACGTGAGGACAGCAATTTCAGAAGAACCAATGAAGTCTAATGCCCATACACGAGGACTCTTTTGTTTTTACTATTCCTCCAAAAGCAGTAATTCCACATTATTATGTTTATTATCATTATTATTGCGCCATTGGGCTGCTGTTATGTCAAACAAGTTTTTTGGCACGTAATGGATTCATGCTTTGCCAAAAAACATAAAACAGACATATTTCCTCATAATAATAATGATCAAATAAAAGAATTCAAAGGTTGGCGCCCTAAACTCAGTCCCCATATCAAAATTTCATCTTTTGATAAAACCGGCAAATTTTCAAGCAGAATAATAAATAACAATAAAGCCTCACGGTATTGGATTCTGAGTAAAGGTTTTGATTCAACCCCTTAAAAAAACTGTGTTTAAAAAAGTACTCATGATGAGCCAAGATTAAGAAGATTTAATGACCTAACTTACAATGGAGCCGACATACAGTTTAGACCAAATTAGTACCTCCTGGGAAAGCGAGGTTCCACAAATCTTCCAGATGGGCAGACCACAGACAAATGCCCTCTTCCCCCACAGTTTTGACAGATCATTATGTCGACACAATCCCGGCTCATATGGCCCACCTGATCACAGTTTCGACAAACAATGTCCCGATACCCTCCGCCGCCGGCACTACTGCGAGTTGGCCCACGAGCCCAGTCTTCGATTAAGCCACCCTTTTTACACTCCCTGGCAACATGGCCAGATACATTGCACAGGTTGCACACGGGATCATTCGGACAATCACGTGCCAGGTGGCCAGTTTTCCTGCAGTTCTTGCAAGCCTTCTCGTTCGTGCAGTCGGCCGCAAAGTGACCTTGCTTGTAGCAGTTGTTGCATAGCCTCAAATCACCGGGTTGCATTGGTGGGGCAGTGCAATCTTTTGCACGATGCCCAGCTTTCCCGCATGTGTGGCAGATCCCTTCATTCGGACAGTTGCTAGCCATATGTCCTGGTTCTCGGCAGTTCCAACATAGTGAATTTGTTGAACATTCTGAAGATATATGCCTGTTGTTGATATATGTCCGAGATTGATTCAATACATGAATTCAAACTCCCTCCTCCAGGCCACCAAATAGCAAAAAATGGTCCAGTTTTAAAAGCTCTTTTTCCCCAAAACAGAAAAGGAATCATATTTAATCAAACACTAATGGCATATTTGGTGCTTATTTGGCTAAAATGCTGGAATCTGCTGAATTTTCTGATAGGAAAAACATTTTGTATCCATTTCAGCCTAATTAGTAAGTCAAAAGCTACTTATTCTGATTATTCTAGCTGCCAAACAGTGGCGGACCCAGAAAGTCGGAGTTACGGGGTCCCTACCCTTTTATATCTCTAATATGTAATTAATACGTAGTATAAAACTAAGGTCGTTTAGAAAATGAATTGACATAAATAACCGTTCGTTTAGAAAATTAATAATCGTTCGTTTAGAAAAAAAATATTTGTCACAGATAGAAAAATAATATCCTATCATTATAGTATGTTTACTCCAATAACTTTCTAAACGAACGGTTATTTATGGCACCTTATAATAATAAATAGGGAAAATAACTTTAAATAATACAAACTATCTTCGATGAACCAATAATAATACATACTTTAGTGTAGAACAAAAACAAAATATAATGGAGTCACTTTTTTAAAAAAAATCCACTAATTTAAGACATTAAAAACTAATATCGAACCAATAAATAATATTCGAAAATACACTTACTAACTTTATATTTTGATACCAATTTTTTATGAATTAAATGACTAATGTTTTAGTAAAGAATTGCTATGTATTAGTGTTAGTACTATTTATGTTGTTTTCCATTGCCAAAAAAAGTTGTTTTCCTTAATATATAGGGGGAAAACAAAAAGGTCGTTTAAAAAATGAAGTGACATAAATAATCGTTCGTTTAGAAAATTAATAATCGTTCGTTTAGAAAAATAATATTTATGTCTCAGATAGAAAAATAATATCCTATCATTATAGTATGTTTATTCCAATAACTTTCTAAACGAACGGTTATTTATGACACCTTATAATAATAAATAAGGAAAATAACTTTAAATAATACAAACTATCTTCAATGAACCAATAATAATACATACTTTAGTGTAGAACAAAAACAAAATATAATGGAGTCACTTTTTTAAAAAAAAAAACCACTACTATTTATGTTGTTTTCCCTTCAAAAACCACTACTATTTATGAGCCAAAAAAAGTTGTTTTCCTTAATATACAGGATAAAAACAAAAAGGGACGCCTAAGGGAATCGAACCCTGTACCTCTATGAGCTGGAAAATTTTAAGTTTAAGCATGCATCCATTGTTGCATCGCCGACTTCAGGTTCTTAAACAGCTTTCTCCTTACATATACATTGTATTATTAATTTATATAAAATACACATAATATATATAGGTGTTTTTTTGAAAGTTCACGGGGTCCCGGGACCCCGTGGGACCCTTAGTGGGTCCGCCACTGCTGCCAAATGAAGTCAATAGTCTGCCAAATTTGTATTCAAACTAGTAAATAAGAATACTTTTAAGAGTTTTACCTTTTCACGATTTTAAAAGTTTCCCAATAGTCTGCCAAAATTGTATTCAAACTAGTTAATAAGTAAACTTTTAATAGTTTTACCTTTGCACAATTTTAAAAGTTGTACCTTGACCAAACAAGACTCTTTTTTAGGACAGATATTATTAGTCTAGACATTCAAATAAATTTTGAATATGCGAGTATGGTGCTATGAAGTAAATATATGAGAAATGAACGACAACTGCATGTGGTCTTGTAAGTAATTCATATGCATAGTTAATAGAAACACTACAAGAAGAGACATACCCTGGAAGGCCACAGTTATGACATATTCCCACATTAGTGCACTCTCTAGCAAAATGACCTGGCCTTTTGCAATTCTTGCACAGACTGTTCTGGCTGTAAAGGAGAAACAGTAAATATTATTTTGAAAGACGAGCAAGGAAACATGGAATTGACATAAAGGAATAGCATTTGGTTCACATTCAGAATTACCTTTTTACCGGATAAAAAGTTTATACACCAATGTACATAAACCAAATAAATGACAAAAGTCAAGAGTACTTGGTTTCACAGCTGGTGATCTAGGTTTTCTTTGTATGAGTAACCTTCTTGGAATACAAATTAAAAAAAATTGTAAAGCAACACTTTCATGTCATTAAAACCAAAGAACCTGAAACCCAGATGTGATTCTCGCCTATATGGTGCATCACGGTAAGAATACCGTTGAGTACGGAATCTACGATCCCTAGGGCTTCTGCTTCGACTTCGGATATCAGACATTCAAAACTTTCAAAACTAACCACCTATAATGACACTGCAAAAACAACCTCACCACACCAGCTGCTGCCTTCCTCCTCCCTGTCCACCATAATCAAACACACCCAAGACCACATCAATGAGTCAATACAAAACTTTGTACTGATCTAATGCTCTACATTCAAAAACCTAATCCCAACACCGCCAGAGTACCCAACGCATATTATCAATCAATAAACCAGATAGAAATCAAGGTAATAAGCACCAAGATATTGCAATCCCTACAAAACCTCATCCTTAATTAAATAATTACACCATGCCTCTTTCAACAAAGCCATTGCTATGACAGAGATCCATTATTAGCAACTCGGTGCATGGAAACTCAAAAAAAACTCCAGCTTCAAGAATGTAATCGAAGAACATGCGTGATACAGGATGTGAGGAAAAGTGGTGTCAAATTCACATTAGTAATATGTATTATATAACACTGATATTAGTATCAGTTTCCTGTGAGTACTGTTACCATAGCTTAGTGTTTATAGAATCATATTACTATTCTATTTTATTTATGTTTCTTATAGAAATATCATAATCAATTGGAACTCTATATACATGTTCATCAAGTTTTTATGAGTTCTGAATTGTATAAAAGGGGTCTAACTTCATATGGTAAAATTGTTCAATTCCAAGATCAGTTACATAAGAGTTTCACAAGGAAGTCTCTTGGGTTTCTGTGAAGGATGAGACTCTTTGATAGGTTCCTAGCTAATTCACAATGAATTACAAGAAACAAGATGAAGAACAGAGATATGATTACATTGAAAGGGTTCGTATTACAGAAAATAGAGAGAGAAAATACAAGACAGTTCCAACTTCCAAATCCCAAGCCCAAATGATAATTCCAACCTCCTTTCTATTCTCCCCTCCACATCTATTTAAACTAACTATTCTAATATTATTATTACTCTTATTATTATTAGTGCTATTCTGCCGGAGTCCTATCATATCTCCCCCCTTAAACATCCACCTTGTCCTCAAGGTGGGTGATAGGAATCCGCCTTGATCTTCAACTTTATCTTCATCCTGGCGCCTCTCCCTTCCCAATATCTCACTGAATTCTTAACCTGCAACTCCGGTACTTGAACCTTCATTTTCATGTTCTTCACTGCCAGTAGGAGTAGATGCAAAATCCTGGTGGCAGAATACTCCATGTGCTTACTTATGAACTCTTCAAATAAACCATTAACCCATTGAAGAAGCACAACATCACCTATTGACTCTGCATTCACTTCAGCAGCCTTAGAGTCCTCCAGGTTGATAAAGTAAAATTGCTTGTGACCCTATTCTGCATTTTCTTTTGGGTGTGCCTCATAGGCATGCACATCCAGCACCTCCCTTCCAATATATTCAATGATAAAACACATATCAAATACTCCTTCAAAATTTTGCAGTCCGTACCCCTTGTTTCCACCCTTATACCACTCCAGTTTAGCATCCTTCCATCTCTGAAAGTGTTGGTTCAAACCTTGCACACCATAGTTCTCTTTTGCATATAACTTGCTAATCAATTCAACTGCTGGGCTCGGCTCAACCATCGAATCCACAAACCACTTTGATAGTTTGAATGCTTCACTTTTAGGTACCTCCCCTTCTGCTAGCTTATATATGAAGCCAATCCTAGCACTCCCTTGCCCATTCATCTTGCATTTTGCAAGATACAGAAATAGATGGACAATAGCATTGATGATCATTTGAGATATAGTCTGAATATTAGGGAGCAGGAAGTTCATCTTCAACCTTGGGGTAAAAATATCTTGAAACTCAGTAACAGAGTGTAGCATCCCAAAAGTTGATTGTTGATTGTGCATTGTTGCTTCAGCCTCTTCATCATTAATAGCAAACTTTTCTCTGCACACACCCTCCAACCAGGCTACAAGACCTCCAAGTGAAAACTCTACCCCAAGTGGAACTTTTGCATCTGATATCCCAGAAAATGGGTAATCATGGTTCTCTTGTGCCTCTGGACCAGTCCTACTTTTGCCCTTAAGCTCACTAAGTTTTCCAAATGTAAGTTTGGTCCCATCAGATGAAACATGTGGATCTAAAATAGGCAAGGTTGATGTACTGGCCATGTGCCACAGGTCAAACATCAGGAACATGTCAACATAACCATCAGTAGTGTAACTCACCTTTTTCTTCCTATTTCCAGTCATACTTACTTCCAGCCACTTTTGAATACACTTAATAGAAGTAAAACCATCAAATCTGAAGTTATCAAACTCATTCAGCCTTTCCAAAATTTCTTTTTCTAATTGATGGTGCACAACATTCATTAGAATATCCAGTCCAGGTTCAAGACTTATATCAATCCAAGATTTGAATTCCTCAGGATTACAGCCTAGTATACCAGCATACCTCCTAGTATCATTGTTAAAGATACGTGTGTGAAACTGGTCCTCTTTATCCTCTCCTGTATCATCGTTGGTCAGTACCAGGGCAACATCAGTGGGTGCTGGACTATTTGTTTCGTGATGGTAAAGAATGTCAACTTCGCTATTTTTTGAAACTGTTGGTGCCGCCTGCTTCAACTCAGTATTGATTTCCGGAAGTAGAACCCCTGTAAATCCTTTTCCTGATGCGACGATGGTTATGTTATCTGAAATGGATGATTCAGGTGGACATGTCGAAGCTAGCGCACTGGGAGAAGTGGCTTGCGATGACATCTGCGAACTGGTAGCAACTGTTAGCGCTTGAGACAAATCTTGCGAACCCAGCGACAAACTTTGCGAACTCGGCGAAATCTGCAAACATAGAAGCACTGTTCGCGTCTGCGAACTGGGAGGAACTGTTCGCAACTGCAAACTGGGAAATTCTTCCCTCGATCGATTCGCATTTTGACGCGAACTGAGAGCCGGTGAAAGAACCTGCGAAGAGTTCTGCGATGGAGCATGTGAACGGCGAGAAGTTTCTCGCGATGGGACCTGCGAACTTAGCGATTGAGACGATCGGTGAGGACAGTCATGTTGAGCGTTGCTCCTTGAGGTTCTTGATCTTCTTCCCTCACGTTGAGCGTTCTGCTGCAGAATCAGTTTGCGCAACTCAGCGATATCTCTTCTCACTTTGTCGCTATCTTTCAGCAACCCCTCGATATCATTCCGCATCTCCTTGCGGTCGCGTACCAGACTTTCCAGTCTTTCTTCCATCGTTACGCGCGTATCAACCAGTGACAGGTGGCAGGAACGTCTCTCTGGCGGTTTGAATAAGTATGGTTTATGGTTTGTCTTGAATATAAGCCCAATATAGTGTATCTCCCATAGGCCCATAAATGGACAGGACCGCCCATGCGCAAAACAATTTTTTTAGGCATAGGAACTCTACTCACTATGAGATACAGAACATCAAAATCCATGACGTCAGAAATGTATTTATTGAGCCTATATAAGGCAACTATAAGAACCATAGTTGTCATGGCGCATGGCGACATCCATGGCGCACAAGCCATTTCACATGGCGATGGCGATGGTGCAAATATGGCGTCGCCACGTGACAAAAAAAACTTCAAACCGAATGATAAACACTATAATTCATCAACCCAACCACCAAAACATGATAAAAAAGTAGAATAACAACATTCTAACCACAACAGGTGAAGTTATAATAGTTCAAAGTACTTCTAAGTTAATCATCTCAAGTTGAAGTAAAAACTGCAACTCTGCAAGTATTTAAAATATGAATTTAAAGTTTAAAGGACTTTAAACTGTTAATCATCTCAAATTCTCAATTTATAATCAAACTGATAGTAAAGGACTTTGAACTAATAGTATTTGAAATCAAACTGATACTTTTTAACCAGAAAGGCTTTCAATTTCAATTTATAACTGATAGTTTATGCTTTATAACTGTATAGTTTTTACTTTATAACTTCATAATCAAACTGATATATTACTTTATAACTGTATAAACTATAAAGTTAGCTGAAGTAAAAACTATAAAGTAAAAACTTCTTAATCAAATTGATAGTTTATACTTTATAACTGTATAAACTATAAAGTTAACTAAAGTAAAAACTATAGAAGTAAAAACTTCTTAATCAAACTGATAGTTTATACTTTATAACTGTATAAACTATAAAGTTAGCTGAAGTAAAAACTTCATTTTAACATAAACTATAAAGTAAAAACTTCATTTTAAATTATACTAGAACATACTGTTATTATAAAGTAGTTAGCTGAAGTATAACTTTTATATACTGCTATTATAAAGTAGTTATAAGTGCTAACATACAGTTTAAGAGTGCTAAGAAAATTGTTGTAAACTGAAGTTATAAGAGTACTTTATAACTGTACTCAGGCTTTGTGTCCGCAGGCTTTGTGTGTTTAACTTCTACTGTCCGCAGGCTTTGTGTGTGTATTTACTTTTGTTAGGTTGTATTACTATAATGGGCTAAAATATTAAGTTTTATTTAGAGTTTTATTAAGTTAGCGTTAAACAGGCCCAACAGCCCCAAAATCCCAAAACGATTGTCCGCTGATGTGTAAAAAAAGCCTACGCATCGCCATGGCGAGATTTTGGCGATGGCGAGACAATGGCGTCGCCATGTGTATACCCAGCGCCACGGCCTATTTTATGGCGCAGAGGCCATTTCCGCGCCTCATGGCGCATGGCGCAAGCGCCATGGCATGCCATTGACAAGCTTGAATTAAGAACTAACTGATTCAATTTCTGGATTTCATCAATGATCCACTACAGTGCAAGGTTTTGAAAGGCGAAATCGGGCCTCAAGGCGTAAGGGGGTAGCCTTCCGAGGCGTAAGCCTTGAGGCGTAACGAGGCGTAAGCCCCAAAATTTAATTGGTTAAGTGTTGCTACAAACATATGGCATATTGGAAAGTATAGATAATTCATAACAATAGTGTAGCTAAACAAAATCACTAAGTAAAAAGAAAATAACTACTCCTAAAATATTCAACTCAAAATAACTTAAAACTGAAATACCAAAGTCAAAATTTAAAGAACATAAAACATTAAAATTCTAAGACAAGAACATAAAACTGATAAAAGCTTGAGTGAAGTAAACTACTAAAGTACGTAGTATTAATTTTTTAACAAATAAATTAGTATTTAGAAGGCTGAGCCGCTGACTCCGCTGAGGTCCTGCGCAGCTCGTCTTCAACTTCCCGTTTCTTGTTCGTTGCTATCGTAGTATTAAGTGGACCGGCGATTGGAATTGGGAAGACAGGAGGACCTGGGCTGTGGCTAAGTGATAAACGATCCAGGTAATTTGTATTTTAGGATGTAAAAAATAAATCCAGGCCCCCCACTAATTAAAAAAAAAAGCCCAAAGTTGCGTCAAAAAAGAGGCGTACGCCTCTTGAACGCCCTGCGCATTTACGGCAGATGCACCGCCTCGTCAACAAAGGGCGTAAGCCTTGTTCCGGAAAGTGAAAGCTTAAGCCTTACATGCGTTAACAGAACGCATTTGCGCATTTGCGCCTCTGGTGCGTAAAGGCTAAACGCCTTTGAAAACCATGCTACAGTGACACACAGTGCGTGAATTATACCTAGAAAACAAAAAAGTGCCTTAATTTGAAATACTTAACCACATTATATCATAGTATCTGCTAAAACCAATCATGAGCCGGAGTGCTAAAACCATAGTTATCAATAGGGCAATATGGCGCACACCATATGTGCCATATGTTGATATGGAGACCACTCGCCACAAAAACCTTCATGGCAACGAGTGAACACATGGCAGAGCCATTTGGGGCCATCACCACGCCATGTGTGCTATTTTTAAACATATTTAATTTGTTCATTCAGTTACTTTTGTGTTCTGGACCTGATCATTAATTAACCAGCCAGCCGTTAACATGGCTATGATTACTAATTAACTAATTAAGCAATCAGCCCAAAATATTAATAAAAGCCCTAATAAGAAGTAAATAAACACCAGCTAAATTAATTGATAACATAAATGAGATTGAAGATCTTTCTGAGAGTGGAACGAGTGGGGATGACGTTCCGCTGTTATCAGATTCAGATTCAGATCCAGATGATGATGAGTGTGATAATGGATGATGGTTATATCATAATCATCAAACACAAACATGTTGACATATTTTGGAAGACCTGAAACTTATTTTGGAAAAAAAGTTATTTTTGGATCTAGTGAGCTACTTTAAACTATTTCAACTTCACATGTTTTAGTTAGAATGTGGTATTCAACTTTTGTTCATATTTTTTGGTGGTTAAATTATAGTTTATGATGTCTGTAATTCATATTTTTAGTTCATATTGTAAATGCGACATCGCCAAGGACAAATATCTCGGTGCCATGAGCGTCACCATACGGCTTGACAACTACGGCTAAAACCATTCATCATTGATCCACTACAGCGACACGCAAACACAGTGTGTACGTTAGACCTAGAAAATAAGAAATACCAGTTGTATTTTTGAACTCATTGTAAAGATTGATGAGAATGGAAATCCATTGCAGGGTTAAAGAAAAGCAGTGACAACGATAGATTTTTTTGGTTTTCTTCAGCTGTACATCAGGACAACAGGCAGGGACTTTCCACATGTCCATACTTTTACAATAATCAGTGCTAGCGTGTTACCAAATGATATTCTGATATTTACTCATCCTTTTAGAGTAAAAAACAAACACAGAGCATCTTATATCTTTTCAACAACTCAATCTAATTGAGAACTCACCTCTTTTATCCCTGGTGTGATTGTTACTTTTTTCACCTGCCTGGAGTTGAGGTCAGTCACTTAAGGAAATGATGCATTTCACTTCTTGCTTCAAAAGTTTCTACACCCCTAAAATTGCTCGTGTACCTTTAGTATGTTTTGGTTTGGTCATGATAGTGATAGGGGAGCAAGGTCGGAGGTCAGATCACGGGTGTGGATTGCGAGGCACAAAGATGTAAGGAGTAGATGGTAACACCAGCATAGATGTTCAGGCGAGCGAATATCAAGAAATGTAAATCAATTACCGAAACCCTAATAGCCAGCGATCACTTTGAAAGACAACTCATTTCGATGATTTTTTTGTGGACATTTCTACATCGGCCAAAGCGAGAGAACATATATGAGTTACATCTACTCAAACATTCAAGTGTACGGAATGATGCGGATCTCTAAGAACTGAGATATGACATTACGAGAGATTCTTGAAGGGAGGGATGGGGAGAAGTACCTGAAAATGAGTCTGGAAAAGGATCCCGATCTGAGGTCGCGACACAGTACGGTGCTTGTTTATTTAGATGGGAATGAGAGCACGTAACAGCGATGAATTTAATGCCGCCCGCCAGAGCGTCAGTTACATGCGAGGCTGAGGATTATAAACCTGAGAGGGGTTAGGGGATGAAGGTTACATGTATGAACGGTTAGTTAAACTAAAATGTCAGGTACTTTTTCAATTTTCCCAAACAAATATTTTCAATGTAATACCGTATTTGATTGAGAGTTTTTTTTCGAATCAATGCGATTTAAATAACTACTCCGAAACAATGATGGTTAAAAGTATTTACGAATATATTGTTGGCTTAACTCGGGTTGGGGAAAGTCGTCAAACCGTTTGGTGACTTATAAGTCGTCAAACGGTTTAATGACTTTTCGTGTAAATAAACTGATGAGCAGACAACAAATTAGACAGAACGAACGAGTGAAGCAACCAAAATAACTCCGGCGAAAAGCGAGTGCAGCAGCCCACTTCGGCGGCTACCGTTACTAGAAGGCCATTCCACCTACCAAGGATACTCCTCAATCATCTTATTCAACCTCTAGGTACATCAATCCCCAACTTCATCTCATTTTTCAACTTAGGGTTTGAATTGATAATTTTTGAATTTGTAAATTAGGAATTGATTTGTTGTGAAATGTGAATATGTATGAAATGTTGAATTTTAATCTTGAATTCAATGTAATTTTTTGATGTTATTGTGCATTTGTTGTAATGTTAATTTTAACGTGATATTTTGAGTTTTTTTTGTGAAAAATGTATTATTTTGACTTTGTTAAGTGTGGTATATGTAATATGATTTTCTTAAATATGAGAATTTTTAAATACTCCCTCCGTTTCTGAAACAAGTTCCAACTTTCCTTTTCGGGCAGATTCAAAATTAAGTTCCACTTTCAAACATTTCCTTATTTGACAAATTATCTACATCAAAACAGTGTGAAACAGTGTCAAATAATGTTCAAACGGTGCCAAACAGTGTTCAAACAGTGCCAAATAGTGCACTCCACAGTAAAGTCAAATTTATTTTCTTAATATGTGTGAAGTCAAATGTGGAACTTGTTTCAGAAACGGAGGGAGTATGTTTTATGTCTATGAAATGTTGATTTTGGGTGTATAAAGTGTGCATATTAATGTGTATTCATCAGTTATCGTCATGTATTGTTATTAGAATGTGGATTTCTCAAACTTCCCAATAGTGTGTCATTGGGGAGGGAAATTATTTGAGGAAGCAGGGGGGTATACGCTATGAAGGTGGTAGGAGTCGGATATTTGTTGTTTCTCGTGGCGCATGAATGTGTGAGATGGTGCAAAAATTATATGCTGATACACAGACACCTCCGAGCCATTCTTTGCAAGTGCAGGTGAAATATCCCTTTCACGGGGGATCATACATGCTTATGTATGATGACTATGTCCACAATGGAGATATACATTTCAGATTCTATAGATGATCTTAAGAGAAGCAAGAGCTAAATATAGAAAGTCATTAGCATTCAATGTTTTCCAACATCCTACAACTACCCCGGGAGAAATATTTATACAAGAAATGTGGGTTGAACTCCCGAGTCTTGGGCCTAGGGATTGATTAATGATTACAACAATGGGCCGTCAATAAAAGCGTCAGCTTTATGACGCTCAATAGAACCATCTGAATGATACCTTATTTTATAAATCCACTTAGACCGAACTTTATTCTTAGTATTGTCAAAGGGAACCAAATCCCAAGTGTGATTACTGATGAGAGCATTAAACTCATCGGTCATTGCTTTCCGCCACTTTACATGTAAACTCATCCCAAATGTGTTTTGTTGAGGTGTGTCAGGACATGATTTGCGAAAATAAATTTCATGAGTAGGAAAAAATTGTTGCATAGCATTTTATTAACAAATTCACTCCCTCCATCACTTTGAATAATTTTAATTTTATGAGCGAAAAGATTTTCAACTAGAAGCTTAATTTTTTTAAAATGATCAAACGCATCACTTTTCATTTGCATAGGATACAATGTATCGTATGCAAATTGGAAGAAATCAGAGATTGCCAAACATCAGAATGAATTAACTGTAAAGGTAACAAAAAATTATGACTAAAATCAGAAAAGTGCAAGCGTTGAGATTTTCCTAGACGACAAGCAACACAACTATGAGAAATACTGGAACTAGTACATAAAAGTTTTTTATGTCTAAAAAGTTTTAAAATACTTTCAAGAGCCGTAACAGAAGCTAGTGCAATAGGAGATTGACACGGACGGAGAGGATAGCGAGGTCCGTTATTGGTAGCCTGGAGAAGCACTTCTCCCGTGAATTTGTCCTTAACAAAAAATGATTTTTTTATCAAAATTCACAATACAATTGTTATCCTCACACAATTTCGAAATGAAAATTAAATTGTATTTTAGTACAATTTAATGAGAGACCGGACATAGGGAACTGATGTTGCACCAAAAGCTTGATGAGAGTACAAACTCTTGCTGCTTGGGATATAAAACCTTTTGTTCTTGGTTAGGAGATGAGTGTCTCAAACGGAAAGTTTTGGGGAAATAGGGAAACACCAACAATAAGAGATTCATAATCTAGCCCCAACGTCATAAATATAGATTGCAGTAAATCATGATGAGAGACCGGACAATTAATAGCAGCAAGAGATTCCATCAATATTTTAATCTCACTCAAATATTGTTCCAAAGACTGATCAAATTTCTTCTTAATATGGGACATCACTCATTTGAGTTCTATAGACCTGGCTAAACTATCAGAAATGAAATGAGATTCTAATCGTTCCCAAATCCCAATAGAATGTTTAACATCATGCACATTCAATCCACTAAAACATCTCTAGATTAAGTGGCAAATAATCATGCATGAATGGTTTTGTCAACATGTAACCAACAAGAATATTCAGAATTAGGGATTTGACGGTTGTGCACGTGTATGGAGTAAGGAGATAGTCCTCCAAGTGAGATAGTCCTCCACCGCTTGAAGCTTTGTAGTTACAGTATGGGATACATTGGTGAAGACATGGGATATGGACTGCACGAGGTCTACCATTGAAGAGCCGAGAGAACTATTGACACGGGCATTCAATGGAGATGTTGTGGATGACGAAGAGGCTACCGACGTTCCCACAAACGTGGATCCAAAGAAGCACGACCCACCATATATATAGGACCGGTGAAAGCAGCAAATGCCAGATATAACACCGGACCCAAATTTCATCGTGAAAAAAACATCAAGTATGAAGTTAAAGAAAGTAAATCAAGACTAAGAATTGTCTTATTAACGAAAAAGATAAAATTATTGTCTTAAATTAATAAAAGATTATTAAAACAGACGCGGGATGCACGCTGAGGAGTATGTGTAAAACCACCTCCGAAAATGTTCACATATATTATTGAAAAAAATAGACATGGCACCTTGACAAAAGGCACTCTAAATTTAACCGACCATATAAATTTTTTAAGCATATTTTTTCTAAGATTTGAATGCTTTAAATAAACATATTAGAAAAACATTAGATACAGAAACAGATGAAAATAATTGATTTTTTACACTACAAAACAAAATGAATGAAATAAATGATCATATATAAAATATTTTTGCTCCATTCATGAAATAAATAAGAAGAAATGAATTAAATTATCTCATAATAAAATTGTTTTTCTTACTCTACTAGTAGTTTTTCTTGTGTATGAGTGTCATTTTATCTCTTTTGGGTGAACCACTAAATACTAAATACATAAGATTTATTTAAAATATGAGGGTTTTCAACAAATATTACTATATACTAAAATCTTTATATATATAACAATGGAATCGGCTGAGAAAACCTGTTCCCGCCTGATTCCATTGTGGTGAATGCATGTGATACAATGTATATATATACAATTAAAATACATTCTGACAACTTAAAAATTTGACTCACGTAATATATAGTTACATATGGCAATTCAGGGCTGTCCACTTAGCACTTTCTAAAACATCATGCGTCACCATTGAACACGTTCACCTTATCTGCTTTGTATTAACCACCTGCTACCACATTAAATACCACCATCGGCCACAAAAAACTATGACAAATTGAGAACCTCAGTCCATTTTGCAGACAGTGAAGCTGTATGAAAATGATGTTCAACGAAGTTCAAGAGCTTAACAAGTCAAGAACAAATTGGGCGTTAAGGGTTCACTCATCCACTCTTCTGTTGTACCATCATTCACCAACACCTTGGAGTGTGTCTTTCATTCTTCTGAGGTAAAAACAATACTAAAATGTAAATATTCTTCAACCCTGTTGTGTTATCTGACATTTACATACTCATGTATAGGAGGACAAAGATTCAGTATGTTCGTAATATCATTAATTCTGTGCTCATTTGAGTTTTGTTGTTTGATATGTGTTGCTACTTTAAGTAGTTTAGAAAAACATAACATGTGTTGTCCTTTAGGATAATATAGAGTAATTGTGATAGCAATTGTGGTTGATATTTCAGAAGCTATGATACATTTACTTCAAATATAACTGTTATAGATCCATATTGTTCATTTGTAATCCGGAGTAATATTGTTCAGGAGGCTATATGAACACACACATATAATACCCAAGGCGTGTTAACTACCATGTAGAAAGAGTACATACCACATGTGTGAAATTATTTACATAGTAATTATTTAAATTGCATCTGAAAATTGAATTTAATTAAAGAAATGGATGTCAAAACTCAAATTGAATTTGAAATGTTGATACAAAGTTCATGCAATCAATTGAATTGTCTTCGAAATCATAATTCAATAACTAAAATTCACACGCAATTGAGTTTATTACTCCATGGAGGTAAAAGACATTCTGAAATGATTACTTATTATATTTCTAGATTTTTCCTTTTTTACTCGAACCTGAACACAACTAACATAGAATACATAACCTAAAGTTCTTATAATTTGGATGCCATATAAAATAATCACCTATAAAGAGATATAGCCACTCTCTCATCCCAAGTGCTGAAAATAATGATCTTTGCTTCAAGATTTATATATATACCTCAACTGACCATTGAAATGAAGTATTAATAACGACTCAAAAACAAGCAACCTAACAAATACTGAAAAATT